TGGAACGAGCCGATAAAGGTTTGTAGAGGGAATTTTGATGTCTCAATTATAAGCTAACAAATGTTTGCGCAAATGCTAAAAACAGGATGTCATGTCAGATGTTTACAATGGCTGATCTACACCAAACTCGGGGACCTTATCTGGCACGCTCTCTCCGAGGGGCTGTGGGAAATTTGGCGTTAATCGGCCTCTAGGTGGCGCTATTAATTGGAAATCAAATAACACTCCCATAGACATACATTCATTTCAGATCTCCATAACCGCAAGCCCCTTTAATTTATAATTCTGGTCATTTATTCTCCAGGCCTCCCCTAGCCACGGCGGGGCCAGGGGGGCGCGGCTTGCGCCGGGAGGCTTGGACCACAACAACTTGCAGTTCTAGTTTAACTTGTAAATTGTTACAAACAACAGGTGTTATTAAATGTTAGCCCATGTGTAAGTGCATTCAAATATCCGTTTTGGCCTATGGAATATGGAGTGCAAAGCACTAAACAAATCTTGAATTTAGACCACTTACCGGTGTATCAACATTACTTGACTGCCTCACATTCTGAAGCGCCTAACCCCAGGCCCGATGTTCTTTCATGTTAATTGTAAAGTACGAGTTCAAAAGAAGCACTTGAATGCAGCAGGAGAGGCGCGTCTCAGCCTGCAGCAAAAAGGTGAGAAGACAACAACAGCATGAGCAGATGAAGTCTGACCGCACAGCCTAAAAAATGTGGACGGATGTGAAAAACAAGAGCAAGACTGCTATAAACAACGGAAACAGCTCAAAGGTAAGAAGTTAGAGGAAAACAGACGCCCTTTTCCTCTTTCTGAAGTGTAGCAATCTACCAAAACAAGTCTGTTGATCCAAGAGCGAGCCCCTCACAGTGGATGTAGTCCTAACGTTACTTTACGACGGCTAAAACCCTGACGCACAACTGATTTACTTGTTTACAGGACCCAGTGATTAGTATTTCATCAAGGATTTCACCTGGACTTGAAGCTGTTTTATCACACTGCTACAGGAAGTGTAGGCTGTTGACGCAAATGTTTCGGAAATATGTGGGTTAGCTGCTGAAATTCTTATCTTGCATATTTTTCTTATCTATACGAGTCTATTTGCCAGAATCGCTCTCACATTTTCCACATTGTAGGACTTCCTGCATGAAGTGTCCTTCTGCTACAAGAAGCACAAGCTGTTGCTGATATAGCCTGCACCTCCTGTTACTTCGTATTTTCTTTCTTTCTCTCTGTGTCCAAAAACAATTGTAAAGTGGAGTAAAGAGTGAAGTATCTGAGCTGGAGTGGCAGTATCTCTGGTCCTGTCAGTGCTACAGTGTTTGTTCAAACACATGATTTGCTACATTTTCAGATGATTGACGCAGATCTCCTTACAAGGCATCTTTTACACACAGTTCAACAGAGAAATGGTGAGCATCTGCACTGCTATATTGTCATTTTTAGTTTTTCAAGCAAAAAGATGAACTACATGTATGTCCACTACCACAGTGCCACACAAAACAAGGGCCTTAACTATAAATACCTAAATAATTTAGAAATCTACATGAGGGTCATCACAAACCGGTCAGTGCCTATACTGACAAAGAAGTGACTGTAGTACACTGCGGTACTGTACAGGACCCTACTATTCAAAAATGACCACAGATTTGAATCAACAACTCTGACACAGTTGCAGCAAACACTGCACATCACAGCTGGAATGAAAGTGCTGCATCCAAATCCACATATTCCAGGATTTATCAATCATTCAGGCGCTATTTAGGTCATATATGACAAGGTGTATTTGATTACTTTGTTCACGCGCCTGCACAATATTAATGAGCCATTCAAATGCTAGATCATTTACCTTTTAGACTCACATAGACATTTTTAATTGCATTTTCAAACCTATATAGTCTTCTGAATCAGTTATGCAGACAATTGTAACACAAACATACATACAGTATTTTATATTAACATTGTTGTCAAGTATTTCTATTTTTTTCCTCCCTATGAAGGTTCAACTGCAGCTGTCACTCATCCTTCTCGCACAGAGGGCTCTTCAACCAGGACAAGTGGAATCATCCCTGGTAAGCCCCACTTAGACCAAAGTCTTTACAGACCCTATAAGACCTGATTTATTCCATGAAATACACTTCTGTCTCTGTGTCCATTTGTATATTCTGTGTTTTGGTGACTTCTCACATCTGCTCCCTGCTTATCATTTGAACCTTATACTGGAGAACGTTTGCATTTTGGTGACCTCGGGAGCCTTTGTTTGCTTGGGGAGGGCATCGACTACAATGTGCCCCTATCAGTACATGCGTGGAAGTGTTTCACTGCGAGAGCATGCAGATGCAGGGCCAAACTGGGAGTTGAATCTCAAAGTTTTGCTTCTACGCAAACCCACTTTATCAGACTAGACATTTGGAAAGGGCCATGAAATTCCTCAGGTGTCAGCAATGGTCAGTAATATAATAATATGAATGTGGCATAGTAGAATCTGCAGAGCTCTGAAAGAGAGAAACAGTCTCTGACAGGAAGTGACAAATTCCCAAAGAACTGAAAAGATGTTGTTGCAGAGTAGAGCATTATTATTATTATTATTGCTAATACAGTACAGTGAAGAGGGATGGTAAAACGAGGAGCACAGATATGCATATGAGTATAAAACATAGTTTTTGGTTTTCTGTGTAGGGACTGGTTCGTTCACCTAAACATGAAGGAAAAGGTAAACGCATTAATTGTGCAGTAATCCCTGCGAATAGTGCTACACTGCACTTGGTGAATGCATGTGTCCTCATGTATTAGCATATGTGTAGTTGTGTTTTAACATGTGCAAATAAACTTATGTATGTGTGCTTTTAGGTGCAATTGCAGCCACAGTGTTCATTGCCTTTATACTTGCTCTCTACGCTGTTCTCTGGAAGTGCATGGTGTCACCACCACAACGGTAAAGAACAGACAACAAGCCCTAACTTGATTTTGCTGGAGTTTCATTTTGATTTTGTTGATACAGTGATCTTTTTCACCTGCCTTTTAGTGTCACATGTTTGAACTTTGTATCCCAGCTCATCAGAGAAATACAAACCACCCCACATGATGGGCACTCTTTCCACTACATATATAATTGTGCTACTGTTTTATTACAGTTGTCATGTAAACACACACATCCGTGTTTTCCTTTCAGAAAGCACGGCAAGGTGAGGGTAAGGGTTCATCAGAGGACTTCTGTGTGAAGACTGGCTTCTGTTATGCAGGTCATTTTGGATCTTATTGGTGTGGACTAAAATCTGAGAGCAGACTTTGCTCTGAGTCAAAGAAAAGCACCAGTGACAATATGCCACTGAAGAAGATCCTCCTAATAGATCCAAAGGTCAAACCACAAAAAGGACTCAGCTGAGTGGATCAGCAGTTTCCCTCAGCTTTACTGCCGGCTGGTGGCTCCTGTTGACTCCCAGTTCCATGTTGATGTGGTTTTGGCCAGTCAGATTGTGCTGCTTTTGTTTTGTTTTTCTGAACTCTGCACTACTGAGGGCTGGGGCAGCTCAGGCCACAGCTCACCCCAGTGACCAATAAGCTGTGTGTATGTGTGTCTGGAACAGAGATTTAGGGATATTTAATGTATGTAGATTTTTTTTGCATGTTTTGCAACAGCACCAAATGGACATTTGCAGTTTAAACATGTCTGGCATAGTGTTTCTTTATATTTTCAAAAGTGCATAATGGCCACAGTAGGTATCATTTGCATCCATTTTAATCTGTCCTTGTTTCTTAAACATTTTTTGGGGGAAAGCTGGAAAGCTGCCAGGGGGTTCAGGGCAATCAGCCAATCATATCTAATCAAGTCTTCAGTCAGCATTTACTGTGGGAATCTAGAAATAGGTCCTTGGGTTCTTTGAAATCCACATGGTGTATTCACTTCACTCACGATGTTGTAACTACTGTATGACATTTGACTCTGTAATAAACTGGGACTTTTTTCCTTTTTTTTTTTTTTACATTTAGTGGAATGTGAATATAAACAAATGCTAACATAAGCGACAGAGTCACAATTTGGTGGAACTCTAAAAGAGACTGAACCACTTCTTTTTTCCTATCTTTTATTTAGTTTTTCTAACTTGGCTTAGGAATGAGGAATGAAGTTCTATGGATGGATTAATGCAGAAACTTTAATGAAACCGAGCAATTAACCATTGATGATGTGCCAGTGTGAGTGTAAAGGGAAAGGTTTTCTGTGTTTCATCTGTGTTTTCTTTTATAAGTGTGTCTCAGGTCAGATTACGTTCACAAGCTGCTGAATCCCAGAATCTATACAATCAAGAAGAGAAGACATGAAAAACTGGCCTTTTGTATGCCATTCATTTATGTGGTTACCCGGGCCGGATGGGCACATTCTGCACCACCCTCCTTAATATGCTTGTTACATGCTACTTGAGTAGCTGACTTTGTCATGGCCATGTCACGACACTTTTCCCGAACCAGTTGTGCAACTGTCAGTGAAGTTGAACTAAGTAATGAGCATGGAATGTGGGTTGGTGTATACCAAAATACCAGCTATTAATCATTTGAAATGTGCAATCCAGTCAAACATTTGACTTTGATAAAAACTAAGTGCATCAGCATTTTTTCAGAACATCAGGGAAGATGTGACAATAGTTACACTGAAAGGGTGGATGGTAATTGCATTGAGCCAAGGATTATGCTTTATATGGTGTAGAAATTCTGATTTAATTACTGGATGTCTGCCCTTAGTACCGTTGATATTATATACTTTTTATACTTAAATGTGAGACACAACTTTTAATGTATCAGCTCCAGGGATTGTACAAGATATATCATTTGTATGATCAGTCATAGATGATGTTCTAAACCTTGAGTTTTTTAAATGGAAAATTGCTGAGTAAAAACTGTTTACAGTACATCTAATAAATGCTTTATTAAACTTTAAATCAATAAACCGTATAAATTGTCTTCACTACTTTCCAATCAGTGTGATTCTTTATTCTAACCTAGATTTCTACCCAGAGCAAAACCAAGATCACACTCACACATTGTTAATGTACTAATTTAATTAACCGGTTCTGTGTGTTTCTTGATGAAGCTGCACTTGTGAGAACACACCTCACTAAGTTCCTTGGATGCCTTTGAAATGACTAAAACAGTCTGGCTTTCAAAGATCTAATTTCTTTGGAAGTGCACAAGGAGAGACTATACAAGATTAGTTATAACAAATGTCAGGAGATGAAGTGCAAATTTTCTGGAAATGGGAATCATAACTGTAGAAAATGTCAGTAGAGCTCTCTGCTCTTACTGAGTGACCTGTTCCAACAAGTACAGGGACGTCAAATTTGAGAGACCTCTATGTTTTTGAGTCAGACGTAAAACATATGATATATAAGTTTTGGGCTTAGTCTATTTATAAAGTATCATTGGATATATAACCATATATTACACTACATGATTCTTGCAGACTCTCAGAAGGTGCACTGGTTTCATTTAACATGACTTGTGCCTCAGACCAATCTCCCATCTCCATGGTTTGAAAATAAGTCTTGTTGGTGATGCATGCTGTTTGTTGAAGGGCTGGCCTACCCCAGAGCACTGTAACTGACTGTGGACAGTAATCTGTGTGGAGTAGCACACAGGAGAGTGGCAAGGTTGAAGGAGAGGACTGAGAACCAGGAGAGGGCACTGTGTTCCTGGGTTCAGGGTCGCTCCGTGCGGTTGTTTCATTCAGAGGAGGTCTGTTATTCAAGATCTCAATGTTACAGCTGCTGCACTCTTCCACCTTCTGAGACTGCATCTTCTCAATAGTCTGTACAAACATACAGAGGGGATTATAATACTGTAAAAATAATTACACACGTTCAGTTAACAGAAGCAGGTAACAGGTAAATTGGCCCAGATGTGGATCTATTTTGCTATGCAATTTGCTTTCTGTGTTTACATCCAGATGCAAAGACAAATGTTAAAATTATTTCTGTTGAATTTAAGTTTTTTGGAAATCTGCAGGAATCTGCATATATAATTTGTGCTCCACAAATTTCTACAAGGAGGTGGTGAGTAAAATGTTATCATGACCACTTGTCACAATGGACAACAAATATACAAATATTATGCAGATTAACAGAATTTTTCCTTTAATGCTCTTAAAACCTTATTTTACTTATTTTGGAAGCTGATCGATGAGGTGCTTTCTAATGGTTTATTTGAATTCACCTGCAAAACATTATCCTGGAAAATTCAGCCAGTAACTGGAATTTAAAAATGCAAAAGGTTATGAGCCAAATGAATATGTAGAATTACTAAATCTATAATAAGTGAAGCGCAAACAATCACTTTTTGAAACCGCTCTGGAGGGAACACAGTGTTGTTTATGCTTTAGACTGCATCACATTCAGTTTGTTGAAATAGTTTAAAGTTTCCATGCTCTCCAAACAAAGATTAAAAAACATGCATGTCATGTACTAAATGTATGTTACGGTAAACACATAGCAGTTGTTTCCTCTCTATGCATGATTTGACTCTTTCAATGGTTTGTACATACCTCATGCAGGAAGCTGTCTAACTCAGGAATGTTGATGTTCATACCAGCAGGATAAACAAATATGTCCTTCAGCCAACTCGTCAGACTGGAGGAGAAGCAGAACAGAAAAGATGGAGGAGAGAGGGCTCCAGGTTGTCTTCTGCAGGATTTAATGTTTAAATGAAGATTTAAAGATGAAGTTACTCACATTTTTCTTTGAGGCCACAGAAGAATGGTGCAGCCCAGCAGTAAAAAGATGGGAGTCAGTATCTTGACCAAGTGAGGAGAGTCTACAAGAGGAAAGGGGAAAAGATGAGCAGTTTATACAATCAACTAGTAAAATTCAAGTATGTGTACTGGAATTTTAGAACTTTTAGTCAAAAGAGAAAAAAAACAATAGTCCAATCAATCAACATTGTTGAATTGTTGTATCTCTGAGTGCACTGGATGTTATGGAGCTCACAGTTGCTTCTGGTCCTAATTGTGATACTGGCTGGTTGTCCAGGCCCCTCCTTAGTGAGAGCACTCACAGAGAAAGTATACTCTTGGTTCTGCTGCAGATTCTCTATGGTTACAGACTTCCTGCGAGGGTGTTCCACTGACACATTGAACAGATCTAGATGTACACAAGATTATAAATGCCTTATTTCTAATGCATCAAAGCTCAAGAGCGACTTAAACCAGTGTTTATCTGAGATTGCTTCTAACTTCCAAATAAATGTCAACATATGATTGTTTAGAGTAGATACACTGAACAAAACACTTTTGCCCCCATTCATCATGAGCTGAACTCAAAGATCTAATGTAATGTCAATTGCACGCTCCCTCAAAACCTGCGAAATCTGTGGCATTTTGCTGTTTGATTGAACTGCACATTTGTGGACTTTTAGTGTGACCAGCCTAAGGCACACCTGTGCAATACCCATGCTGTCTGATCAGTATCAATTCAATTCAATTCAATTCAAATTAGCTTTATTGGCATGAATGTGTAACAATAATATTGCCAAAGCATCATACATACAACATAAGAATAATCAACCCCATACATTTCATTAAACAAGTAATTAAAGCGTAAAGTAATCAAAGCGTATGTGTGTTTGTGTTAAACAAAAACGAAGAAATATTAAAAATTAAAATAAATAAATAAAACAGTAAGCGTGTGTGTGTTAAAAAAATAAAAATATTAAAAAAATTAAAAATATAAACAAAACAGTAAGCGTGTGTGTTTAAAAATATATATATTTTAAAAATAAAATAAATAAATAAAACAGTAAGTGTGTGTGTGTGTAAACATTTTAGACAATTTAAAAAAAATAAAAAAAAATAAAAACAAAATCTGTGTCAAATGTAAAAACAAAACAATGACTAAAATATCAAACGATCAAATTAATAATAATTTGAAAATCTGTAAAAAATTTTATCACTGGTTTCCACTGGTTGTCCTCACTTCATGGCATGAGGAGACATATTTTGCTGCAATTATTTCACATTTGGGCATTTCTTCCAGTAAACAGGGGAGTTTCTGTGTGTCTGATATGAATTCGAATTCGGGGTATATTTGGGAAATGTTTGCAAAGTGTTTTTGTCTTAGTGTTTTATATTTGGGGCATGAGGTTAGAAAATGCAGCTCTGTCTCTACCTGTCCCCTGTCACACAGGGAGCAGAGTCTCTCCTCTTGTGGTAGCCAGTTCTGTCTGTGGTGACCCTTTTCTGTGGCCAGGCTGTGTTCACTCAGTCTGTATGTCAACATTTTTCTTAGTTTGGGACATTTTATTGCACTCAGGTAATTTGCCAGTGTGAATTCTCTTTTTAGGGTCAGATAACATTGTAATTTACTTTGTGTTTTGGTCGTTTCTTTCCAGTATTCAATATATTTTGGTCTGCTCGAGTTGGTGTTGCTGTCCTGAGGCTGTTGGGAGCCTCAGGACCAGCTGGCTGAGGGGACTCTTCTCTGGTTTCAGCTCCTGGTATGTTAGGGCTTTGTGATGATATGTCTGGGGGTTAACAGATTTTAAGTGATTGTAAAATTTAAGTGATCTTTTCTGTATTTTTAGTAGGAGGGGGTATTGGTCAAGCTCTGCTCTGCACAGGTTATTTGGTGTCTTTCTCTGCACTTGCAGGATGCTTTTACAGAACTCAGTATGGAAAGATTCTATGATTGTTTTGTCCCATTTGTCAAATTCATTATTAAGTTTTAGCCCCCAGATTTCGCTACCATATAGAATTATTGGTTCTAGTACAAATTGGAAAATTTTAAGCCAGATTTCAATTAGAATATATAAATACACGTATCTTGATAAGCCACACCTGTGAGGTGGATGGATTATCTCAGCAGCAGTCTTAGATCGTTGAGTTCAGCTCATGATGAATGGGGGCAAAAACAAAGTGTATATAAGTTAGTGATCAAATCAAGAATTATTAACACTGAAAGCTTTCCTCTGCACCCACTTGTAGCATGACCCGGGAGCGTATAAGATCCTACTTCCTGCACTGTAACCAGGTACCCAGTGATGAACGCAGGATGAGCCGGATCATCCTCATTGTAATGCCACTCCAGTGTCACAGACGAGGAAGTACTCTGAACAGGTTCAATCAGACTCGGGGACGGTACAGCATCTTATTTTTTGAGGAAGGGAGACCGATTGAATCAATTAGAATTAAAGCAACAGACTTCAAGCAACAATACAACTTCCAAAAATGATGTCTTGTGTATACAGTAGATAACATCTGGGGGGTGTCCTCTGACGAAGACATCCTGTGTCAAAACTTTATCTGGCACACCTTATTAAACGTTGAATTCTTGGCCCTGTGCTCAAGACCTCTCCTGCAGTGTGTCTCACCGCCCTATCTTTTGAGGTACCAGTTCGGAGAACTTTAGAGCTTTTAGAACTTTAAACCTTTTAAATCTTTTAGAACTTTAAACCTTAAATATCTTAAACACCCCTACCATGTAGCTGTGAGACAAGCAAAATGACAAATAACTTCATGAAGAAATACTGTGCTCAGTCTTGCCATAGTGGATGACTTTTGACAGTAAATCTCACCTTGTTAGCTGACTTTGGCTGTTCCTCGCCTAGTTGTAATCCTCCTACACAGCTGTTTCTGTTTCAGTTAATGATTGTGTTTCAACCTAAAAATTGAATTAGTGATCACTAGCACCTGTGTGGTATAATTGTTTAATCATACACCTGACGATATGCCTACAAAATCTCTGACTTTGTGCAAGTGCACCTAGAAGAAGTGATGCTGTTTTGAGGGCAAACATTGATTTAATTTATATTTTTATCCTTTTCAGTCACATTGCATTTTGTTAATTGATAAATATACTCTATTAGGTTGTCGATTTTTGAAAGCATTCTTACTTTACAGCATTTCCCACCCCTACCTGAAACTTTTGTACAGTACTAGAAGACAGACATGCATTTTCAGTACAACTTATTAATGAGTAATAACACTCACTGAGTTCTTGTGAGTATCCGGTCTGTATCTCCAGAAGTCTGTGTTCATTTGCAATGCATCCATAGATCTTAAATGTATACCCACAACCTGCTTTGAAATTCCCTGCAAAATAAAGGTGAATGACAATAAATGCCATAATAGGATAAACTTAAAGGAGAGGTTTACAGAGACCACTAAAGGAAAACAATGATAAAAAAAAAAAACACGTACTCGCAGGTAAGAACAATGTGTTGTTTCCCTGTGGCACTTTCATCCATCGCAGAGTACAATTCTCTACATTTCCCAGAATGCACCACTCCACAGTATAGCCACAGGTGGCAGTGTCCTGCTCTTCCCAGGACAGATTAAAACCAGCAGCTTTGCTGCTGCTCAACCGTTTCTCCACTGGGAGGATTTCTGGATGGAGAAACATATTTCAGATTGTGGTGCTGATTGTGTGTTGTGGTACAACTTGACAGGTAGTGTAGGTAAATTCGAAGATCAATATAAACAAACAAATCAACTACAGGGAAAAATCTCCACCACTGAACTATTTTTCATCTCACTGTTAGACCAAATATCTTTGTCCCAAACTTAATCTTAATATGATTTAATTGTCACTGTATGATGATTATCTAACGGCAGAAATTCAAGCTCTGGACCACTACCAACATCTAATCCAACACTACATTTTGCAAAAGTCTGTTCCAGCTCATAGAGCTTGATTAACGACAACAAAAACTGTAAAATTTTCACGAAAGTAAACTTTAGATTTTAGAGGTTGCTGTTGTCACAGAGGTTGAACTTCAGAATGTTGAATATCAGCTGATTCCACATGTGTTGCTCACCTCCATCGTCCCTCTGTGGGATGGTGATGTGAGCAGGTGGGGTGGAGCCCATTTGGACAACAGCCTGGACAGTGAAATTATACTGTCCTGGACCAATGGAGACCTCTGCCTCAGTTTGTCTACTCTCCTTCCACTCTGTCCAGTTTTGGCCTTCCTGCAACCACTGAACTATGTAGCCTTGGATGTTCACCGTGGCTGCTGAGCCAGGAACATGCTGAGAACAAAGGTAGTCATAGAAGTTAGGAAAGGTGCATGCTGCTGTGACATATAATGCCTTAATTAATCCAATCAAAGAGTTTTACACTGCTATTTATGTAAAATAAAACATTAAGTAAACAGACAATCTAAGCATCTCACTGGAGTCCATAATAGAGTAAGTTGACGACTGTTTGGGTCGGACAGCTGTTTTATTTGCCTCCATACATCCAAGGTAACCAAAAAATCTGAGGAAAGCACATGAAGGTTATTATTTTAGGCATAACAGGCATGGGAGATCATTCAATAGTATCAGCATACTTTTTGTAGGACTGGAGTATTACCAGTAGTTTATAGTCGAACCAACTTTGTGATGTGTAGGACCTTGAATTGTTGGCTTGTATTGTTTCTTGCCTGCTTAAAGCTGTGGTAGGCAACATTGGAGAAACTAGCAAGAGACAGCTAGAAAGTAACCAACTGAAAAACTCTTTTCCCCTCCCTTCAGGCTTCCCCCCAAACACATTTTTATGTGCAATAGAGTGTGCAGGTAGGTAGAGAGGCAGAGAGGCCAGCCAGTTCCAACTGAATGAAATTATTGGCCATTCTTATTACAGTTCTGTGACAACCACAGATACCTGATTTATTTCCTTTTTATGTAACATTATTTGATTTGTGATTGGTGGCAGGTTTGTGGTGGTGGCAGCCCGGCTGATGGTGAGTTTCCTGTTTATTTCTCCTTTTTTCTTGTGATTCTGTTTTCCCCTTGTGTTTTGGCCTGCCTGTTTGTGTCTCCTCCTCTCCCCCTGCGTGTGCTCTCTCTCTCTCTGCCTGTCTGTCTTCCTTTCCCCAGGTCCACTCACCTCCATCTTCCGTCGAGTCAACTGGGCTCGCCTACCTGTCCTCTCCCCTCAGTCAGCCTGCCACCACACTCTTCCACAAACCCCCTGGTCAGTTCTCCCGTGCCTCCTCTCTTCCTCGGCCCCCGGTGCCTCCCAGTTCCCTTGTCTCAGCCTCCTTGGTCCCACCTGCTCCTCGGCCCCTGGTGCTCCTGGGCTCCCTTGCCTCTGCCCTACTTGCTCCTCAGTCCCTTGTGCCCGTGTTCCCCCAGCATCCATCTCTCCCTCACCTCCACTTCCTCAACCCCTTTTTCCCTCAATAAAACCTGTTTCACTTGAGCGTTGCTTTCTGGTCCTCTCTGTCCAGCACACACAACAAGGTTTTCAGCAAAAATATTTCAACAAATATAACATTGCCTACCCCAGATTTAAAATAAAGGATATATATCTATACATCTATAAAGAAAGATGGACATCATGCAACTGTCTTGTCCTGAGATAGGTTGAAATTTTTGGTCTTTAACGGCGATGAACTTGGACTTGACCACACCCTGCATACAATCCTGGTAATACACAATTTGTTGTACTCACAGGTTGTGAAGGACATGGGCTCTGTCCATTTTCCCCATAGCCTGCCATTGGCGGAACAGCGAACCCTGGTTGAGTAGCGGGTGTTGGGAAGCAGATGGTCCAGTTTGACTTTGCAGAGACCACTCACACTATGGCAGCTAAGCTGTTACACACAGACAGAAGGTAAAAAAACAACAACAAACACAAAAAAAACAACCCCACCATGCACTAAAATTCTGCAGAAACTTTCAATTCTGCTATATAAATATTTTAGTTTAAATTCACCTCAGTGCTGCTGTCTGGGTCTGTGGTGACCTGACAGAGGAGGTTCAGTTGAGTCAAGTTCCCCTGTACGATCCAGGACAGAGTAGTGTCTGTCACCCCAGGGCTCACTCGCTCCCACTCCACAACAGGAAACACTAACAGCAACACACACATGAAATCCACACATCTGATGAAAGCTATAGCACAGTATTTAAAGTCTTTAACCCTTCAACAACAAAACTGAAAGTGTACGGTAACAACATATATGTGTATATATGTATATATATATATATATATATATATATATATGTGTGTATTCCTGATTCTGTTTAGATGCTTGCGTGACCTCTGACCTCTGTCAGAGATGTTGAAGCTGTAGCTCTCTGTCTCCTCTCCCAGCTGGTCCTTAACCACCACATGATGTTGTATTCTTCCAACTGTGAGATGGCCTGGAAAGTACAAGACGACGGCTTGCATTTGATGGGAGCTTGGTTCCTGTGTTTTATAACAACAAAGAAAGGACAAAGGATGTTTGGTAGGCTATTTGTTTAAGAACAAATATGCTTAACCTTTTCAGCTCGGTTTAGTTAGAGTGTCATCAAGGTGAGTACGGTTTACTTTTGTATTTTAGTTTGAAGAACATGGAGGCCAAATTAATTAAACATCCATTTTATATTTGAAACCTTATTGTTGACTTTTATTAAACAAATAACAACAATATGCTGCATCAGGAATCTCTTTACAAAATTGTGATTGACTGTAGCTGATGTTTTGGTCACAGACATTCTTCATTTCATATATGCTGCACATAATGGACCAGTACATACAAAAATACTGCCACAAAAAAAACCTCAGTGCTTACTCTATGTAGAGAGTGTGTGTTTGCTTGTTGCGATCGTGCTTGTGTCGTTGCCTGCCTGAATCCCAGGTGCATGTGACATTTGTCATGTCTGAGGTCACACAGCTGAGGTTTCTGGGCTTCTGGGGAGGAACTGCAGCACACACACACACACACACACACACACACACACACACACATATATGTAAAAGTCATTTGAAATAATAATATTAAAAGAATGTAAATAAAAATAATAATTATTCAAACATACAACTGATGTAGTTCCAGACAGGATGGCTCTCGCCTGTTGTATCTGTGCATATGAGTGAATAAACTTTAAAGATTCCTTTTGGGATGGTCAGGTTGTCTACAGCAATAGCCTTGACTCTGGCTCCAATGCTGATCAGAGGGTAATTGCTGTTATTGAAGGTCATGCTGGTAATATCGACTCCACTTGGGGGAACACAGCAGAACATAGCACTGGTACCCTCTCTCAGCACCCGCTGGAACGGAAAGATCTTGGTCTTATCCTTAGCCTGGGTTTCTACAGGTCACAGAGCAGAGTTACAGAGTACAGTCTCGTGAGGATTTGGCCGGCAGAGTGTACAAGCAGGGGTGCTGTTAGAAATCCCTCTAGACAAGTGAAAAACCTCATGTATCATCCATCCATCCATCCATCATCAACCGCTTATCCTGCGTACAGGGTCGCAGGGGGCTGGAGCCAATCCCAGCTTAAACTGGGCGAAAGGCAGGGTACACCCTGGACAGGTCGCCAGTCCATCGCAGGGCCACAAATAGACAGACAACCACTCACAATCACATTCCTCATGTATCATTAATGAGATAATGTTGTTTTTATACTGCCTTCACAAATTATAAAAAATAAAAATGTTCCATCCAAGTGTATTATGGCCAAGCAGAACATGCATTGCAACAGACATTTGCAATGACTGCAACAGGCACCGCAACAGTTGAGAAATACAGATATAAAGATTGGTGAAAGGGAAAAGAAGAAGGATGGAGGCATGACTCTTGCCGAGAGAACAGAATCTTATCTTGCTTATGTGTCATGATCTTATCAGTGAAACAGTGCAGACAAGAAACTGAGCTGTTTTTAATGTATTTTGTGGATTAGTTTTACTCACGGACATTGACAATTAAGAATCAGACTAGCATCATCTCACTATAGTTGGTTATCCAGTTGCTCCAGGGACTCGGGACAGACTGATTGTAGAAATGTCGTATCCTGACCGAGTGGTCGACACACTCTAGAGGCAGATCAGAGGTCCATGTCCATGTGTATTCATCTGAATCCGCGGAAAATACACTTACATTTCTCTAAATTACCAAAAATATTAAACACAAAAATAGCACATGAATTTCACAGGAGTTTGTGATTATCCATAGCATCACCAGAGTAAGACCAGACAACAAATCTATCAGTACCCACATTGTAAATAATGGTGTGGTTTTCAGTGCGGCCGATCTGGATCTCATAAAAGTCACCCACTAAGCCACTGTGGTTTACCAACCAGCTCACCAAGAGGCTTTGCTTGTCACTGATGGCCCGCAGATGACTGATGTTCGGCCTTGGCGGCTGCCAAACTAGCAAACAATGAAACTCAATGAATGCAAAGTTGAAGGACACATTTGAGGTGTTTTAAAATGTTAGATGAGACCAGGAATTAAACTCACCAGCATCCAAGCAGCTTCCACCGTGGGCCTCAGACAATATTAGATACAACCTTAGCAGGTTTATCAAGGATATTCTGAAACCTATCATCCTCTCAATAGACAAACGATCAAAGCAAAAGCAGAGTGAAAGGCTGGCCATTCAATGCACACACTAACCAAAAGTCTCATGAGTCAATGATTAATTGCAGCCCGCCCACAAATACTGTGAGAGTATTGCATAATAACGTTTCCGTGGAACTCATGAGTGGAGTGTAAATGTCAGACTGAAACACAGATGTTTTCCACAATAGTTTTATGTACATCACAATATTAATATGACACATCACAGCTCTGATTACAGAGATTACAAGAGAACACATATCAAACAAAATGTTAATGTTGACATTGCATGAAGCAATGTACACAATAAATTATCAGAAAAGCAGATGAACATCAAACAGCTATTCTTTACAGAAATCACCTACAGTATCAGACAAAATCTTTGGCACTTAAGTGAGAAAAAAAATGACAGGAATAGTTCCTCATCCAACACAGTGTGCATAGGTAGCCTTTCCATAAAACTATACACATATTTAATATTTATACAATAATGTCAGTATACTTTTAGATGCTCACAATCCCTTATAAATATTATTAAAGATCACATGGAGAAATAATAGCACTTTATACATAGTTTGGGGAAGGGCTGACTTGGCTCTCAAATATTTTCTTATAAGTGCATATGGGAAAATAACAGCCATACTTCAGTCCAGATGTCCTGGTAGTGTCGGTCCCAGTGTTCGGGGCACAAAGGTACCTCTGCCATCAGACAAGTGCAACGGATACTAAAAAGAACCATAGTAGGAGTAAAAACACAGGGAGTACAAGTATAAAAGCTGATTTGCAAAGAATTTGTTTGCAAAAAGGCACAATGGTTTCTTCACGCAGGAAGAGAATGATTAATGGCCGCCACATATATCTATGTATACTTCCTCCCTGCAACTATTCCCTTATTTACATATTCAGTTTTTAAAAAATGAACATAATCCATCACATTGAGATGGATGCAAAGGCGCACATACACAAACACATATAAGCAACAGATATATTATTGTGGGTCCAGTTATATGTAAGACAGCTTGCACTGCAGGTCTCTCTATGAGGATTCTCAGAGATAAACAACGTTCTCCTCGCCTGCTTCCTCCCCATTCTGTCCTTCAAGAGAGAGGTAAGCCTGCGGGGTAAGGAGGGGGGTAAGAGAGGGAGACAAGGAGTAGTCGTCCTCATAAAGTCTGTGACCTGTGACCTCTGAACTCCAGGGACCCAGGGTTCGCCTGTCCAATGGCAGGCTGAAGTCTGCTAGAAGGAGAACAACAGAAATGCTTAAGAAAAAAACTGTTTTGGAGGGAGGTACTTATTTTTCCCTGAATGCACATTGTAGAATCAAATGTTTCATTGAATTCTCTGAAAACTTTGTACAATCAATGTGTCCAATATTCTCACTATACCTTACTGATGCATGTCCGCCTCCACAATATACCACTATTCTAAAACACATTCACTATTGCACAATTCAGTTTACTGTCTGTTTCATGAGCTAGGTTCTACTGTCACATAAACTGGGTTGAAAAAGTACTGTGAAGCCTCACTTGCAAATGACTGAATGTGTTTGTTTGCTTTCCAGAATTATATACATGGAATGGAATATGAGTACACTTACTGTTGTTGGTCATTAATGGCTGTGAAGTGACCCTTCTGCTTAAGGGGTGGATGGAGTCATTTACAGGCCGGGGGCAGCCGTGGCTGTCACTGTAGTTTGGGTATGGCAGACCATCCGGAGGCTGTTTGCTGTGTGCCTGGCTCAGCAGGGTGTTGAGGCTGTTGTAGAGGCTGGCACTGAGGCCAAGGTTCGCGGTGTAGCTGGAGCTGTGCAGAGGGCCGTCATGGTTCTTTCTTGGGACAGAGAGCAGATTCTGGTGCTGGTTGTTGTTGGCGGGCTGGTGGAGGTGGTTCTGTTGGAGGGAAGCAAGTAAAGCCGCCTCGTTCTCGTACACAGAGCAGTTACCATCCAGGCTGCCAGAGCGGCTGTGGTCGGCCACCTGGGACATTGAAACAACCACGGAAAGCAGAGGGACATTTCTTAGTAGTGTCCAATGTTTTAATTTAAAAAACTTTTCACAACACACCTCCTCTTTTTCTTCATTATTGTACTTTCTGTCACCTTCCTGTCTCTCCTTCCCACTCCCTTTCTTACCTTGTATCTATCCAATGGTATCGTAACAGGCAGGCTGCTCTGGCGGTTGTGTCTCCAGCTCTGCAATAGCCTCTGCTGGGCTTCAATCTTCTCCTTCTCCCTCTCCACAATCCTCTGGCCCTCCCTCAGTCGGTCCAGATTTTGCTGATACTCCAGCAGCTGAGCTGCCAGCTCCTCGCGCTCACAGCGCAGACGCTCGGCCTCCAGGAGGCACTGCTGCTCTCGCTGCTCCAGCATGCTCTCCTGCTCACTCTGGAAACACAGAGAGTTCAGCCACGTATTATTTCTTCCTGTTCTGACAGAATTTCTACACTACCAGTACTGTGATTGGGATTAACAAGTTCAGATACAGTATGTCCTCGCAACACTTTACAAACATACTGAGTGTTGGATTTGAAATTGTAAAGGGATCAATGCACCCTAAAATAATGTAACAACTGTTCTCATCTGCACAAGTAATAAAATCACCATGCATTGAGTTTGATAGCAAAGTGTGGTGATAAAGCAACAAGTGCAAATCGGTACAGTTGTAAACATCAGAATTGTGAGACAAAAGTGTAAGATGTTGGAGGCTGCTGTCTTCCACTGCGTCTCACTTACTTATTAGCCAAATACCTTCTTCTCTGCATGATAGAAAACTCTTTAAAACTATACTTAGTGGTTAGATTGTTTTTGCTTATGGAAATATCAATAAATAATGCATAGTGCTAAACAAAACACCAATAACGTATGTACTTCACAAAATGTATCAATGGATGGGATTGAAGGCTAGGGCCAAGAACTGTTCTGTGGGGAGATGCACGGTTGTGTTTATGCAGTATACGGCTGTATTGTTACGCCACACTGCCACAGTGAGTGTGTTTGAGTATGAGACTCCAGTTCAGCCAATTTGAATGCACTGCTACCACATGCTATGTGAGAGTATATGTGTTGCAAAGGTTTAGAAAACCAGTTGGCTTTACGTACAGGCAGAAACTCAGTCAAAGGAAAAAAGAAGTTACAACATCTCACCACAAAATAATTGTGAGAGCGTCCAGAGTCTGACTCAGCTTCTTTATAGTTGGCAACTTTTGATATCTGCTCGTATCTAAGTATCTGATCAGGGGGAGGTGAAATCATAGGTTTGTTGATATGTGACAGCCTTAATTTTTTTATTTTGCTGAAATCTACTTATTATCTGTATATTTCTATTCATGTGTTTTTTACTATTTACTTTGACAGCAGAACATCAGCATGCTGCATACCTGTTGTTTCTCTCTGGTCAGACACTCTTTGTCCCAGCGTTGCTGCTCTTGCTTCAGCTTCACGTGGCGTTTCCGCACCTCATCCACCTCTTCTTTCTTCTTCTCTGAACGCTTCTTTTCCACTTCCTCTTTCTTCTTATCCATACTTCTCTGCTTCTCCTGCTCCTGAGTTACAACAGAAACTGGTTTAATCTTTATTGTGTATTTCAACAAGAGGCAACTGAATTCTAGTCTAACTTTCTCAAAACATTGATCCATGTTACAAAGTCAGTAGCAAAATAAAATTTTTGACTGGTACCAGACTGTTTTGGAGGGAAGTGAGGGTTCGGAGCTGAGGTCTTTCTCCTTCCTGGAGAAGGAGTTTCTGGACTTCATGGCAGCTGTCTTGGAGGGTTACGGCAGCCTGCCAACACAATGAGGAGACACCTGATCACACTCCAGTTACTACCTGTATAACTTAACCGCTGTCATTTAGAGTCGGGATAGTTTTTGATGAATCAGTATTTTGCTTATTGAATCTGAATCAATTCAGATACTGAAAGATCTTTTCTCACCTGCAAACTATAAAGAAGCTGAGTCAGACTCTGGACGCTCTCTGCCACCTACAGAAAACTGTGTTATTACAGGGGAACAGTAATGCATATTTGTTTTATCCACAAACATTCCTAACCTTTAACAGTGTCCCTTTGGTGTCTCCTCTTCTCAGCTCGACAGCAGAGCTCCACAACGCGCTGTCCAGCCCCGTCAGCTCGCTGTCTGATGCAAGAGAGGTGGAGCTCACACTGAGCGTGCTCAGATAATCCGCTGTATCAACAAGGAGGAAAGACCAAAGTAAATGTCCCTACCTGCAATGTGGCTCACCCGCATCAGTAAAGGTCAAGTAGTATGTGGGAAGCAAAGTTAACTAAAGGACAAACATTGACATTCAGAATTACAGTGTATATCTGTGACTCACGTTCGGAGGGAGACTCCTGGATGCTGCTGCCGTGGCTGTTGTAGCTGCAGCCCTCTGGTGCTCGGACAGGAGAGCTCTGACTTTGCACAGACGGGCAATCACGAGCCTGCAGAATGGTGATCAGGTTCTCTGCTGCAGAAGAAGCAAATATCATTCAAAACTCAGGATTATTCTGTGAACAAGTTTGTTTTCCAAACAAGAAAATAATACAAACCTGCAGCATACCCAATCACTTTTATTAAATCATTCACTTGCACTTGCACTTATGTTGTTTCCTATGGCATTTTTCATATTGATAGTTGCAGAGTAATTCAATTTAAATTTTAAAAAAGGTTGTCAGTCTAATACACCAGTCTGATTAAAAGAAATATATTTGAAAAACTGCATCTCAATTGATTAAAAGTCCTCACAGGAGTTTTCTCTTATTTTTACTGTTTAGAGTTCAGGTTGAAATTGGGCTGAGCTAAGGAATTATATGATGTCTCCACTCTCATCAACTACAGATAAGAATGATAAAGGTGCGAGTGGTCCAGCCACAAAATACTTTTTATAGCAGACATTTTGACTTGACTGAAAAGCCTAATAAAATTAAGCAATAAAATGAATGATTGGATCATTCAATTTAAGTGTCCCGGGAAGCCATACGCAGCCAGTATTCATTCACATAAACAAGGACCTAGAAATGGCTAAACTTAAGGGGATGCAGCCATTCATGACATGTCAAAATGTCTGCTGTGAAAAAGGTCAATAAGTGCAACAAAAAAAGTTAAATACCAGTGTTGTACTATGGCTATCTACAAAGAGCTTTAAGAAACTGAGTAAGTTTGTTTAAGATTAACCTTGTGAAACATTTTTGTCAAAACTGATATCATCATGCAGCCCACACCCTTTAGTCCACCCAGTTTTAAATTTTTTTTTTTACCTTCTCTGAGTGCAGCTGTGAGCAGCAAGGAGGCCTGTCGTGGTGTCTCACTGTCGGTGTCTGGTTGTACCAGCAGATGGCGATGTGGTACAGGTTCTGGTGAGCGGAGGGTTAAATCTGTGAGCTCAGCATAGAGCTGTAACTTCTCCTCTAGACTGGTGCAGATTCGCTGGTCCTGACCCAACAGTGTCTCTACACAAAACAAACACTAAGATTAGGACTTCTTGTTGTTTATGGTTCTATCAGAGAACATTATGAAGTCTTTGCTGACCTTGGAACTTGGTGATCTTCTGAACTCTCACTTCTGCAGCTCTCCTGGCCTCCTCTGTCTCAGCACTTCGCTCCTCCTCCTCCTCTTCTTCAGGGCAACTGCCAGGTAGACCAGTAGGTTAGATAATGAGTAACTTACACACATTAACCAGACACACACATGCACACAGATTCCAGGGAGAAGCCAAAACATATGCATACCTGCAGGGACACTTAGACTTGACTTGACACACATTCTCACACACAAACACACACACACCTCTCTACAGCTTGTCGTATGTGTCTCATCCACGCATTCCTCTCGTCTCTGGTGGTGGTGTGAACTTCATACATCTCTGGTCCCACTGAGGAGGCGGAGATAAGGAACATCCCTCTCTCCTCATTAGCTACTTCTCTAACAATGAGCTTCTGCAGAGGGATTACAGGAGGCTTCTGGTCCTGAAAAAGCAGATAAAACCCATGAAGGGTTAAAGGACAGAGATAAATGGACAGATAGCTGGACAAGATGTCTCTGATTTCAGGTCGATACTTACCACAGCAGCAAATATGAAGCGCTGATCTTTCTCTTGTAGGAATACCAGAACGTCTGTGAGCAGGAGAGCCAAAGTATCTGAAAATGGATGGGTAGAAATACATGTAGATTGGGTTTCTGTTGAACTCAAAAGATCTTGTGGCACAGATTATCTTACATACCCTTTAGACGTCCCGTGGCAGTCTTCCAGTAGACCAGACCTTTGTGCTGCAGATCCCTGTGTTTGCTATGCAGGTCCTGCTTGCGAAACACCTTGCCATTCTTTAGCTTGGCAAAGTTCTTATTCTCCAGCCTGGCCAGCACTTCCTGCAGCTCCTGAAACTTCTCATACTTGTTTACAGTCAGGTCCACTGCAGCGATGATGTCGCGGATCTGAGCCAGGGCACTTGACACGTCAGAGTGTTCCTGACTTCTCTCTGTCGGGTGAGAAAGGTAACAGAGAGATCACAATAAAATAATTTTTTGCCCTGTACAAAACACTGTTTCTCAAGTAGACAGCATTCTACTTTAAGTTCAGACATTTAGACTCTTTTTATATATATTCTACATAAAGCAGAAGTGTTTAGCACAAGTCAGTGCTCTGCCTACATAGCAATTTTATAGACACTTTCTCTATCCATTGACTGCTAACTGACATAAGTTTTAAAAAGCAAATATCATTCTCAAGCAGGGAATTTTAAAACAGCAACACCATATAGCACTAAAGAAGAAGAAAGCCAAATTGATAATATTCTCTCACAATGCAAAAAATATTTGACTTAGTATGACACTTTGATGATGCTTTTCATGTAATAGTCTGGCCTGAAACATGGGATGTTGCAGCACATATCTGAATCAAGTTACAAAATTTAGACCAGTGTTTTGCTATACAGGACATCGTATCGTAGAGGTGGCGTACCCTGAGTGTACAGTAATATCCTCTCCAGCAGCACTGGGTACTTGGTGATGCGCTGAGTGACCAGCAGGATGAATTCTGGCACCTCTCGCCGTCTGACCAGAGAGTTGTTGCTCTGTTGCTGTGAGCAGAGAGGTTAACACCAAAATGAGTACCTGCTCATTCAAGACATTTTACAGTAAAACCCTTACTTATGTGTGAAAGGTTATTGTGATTGTTGGTCTCTTTTTTAGCATGTAGGGATTTACATAATGAACATGTGTCTAATTGCATTTGAGAGAAATGATGATTCAATAGCAAACAAATGCAAAGTATTTTGATATGCAAGGCTTTCTCAGTGTATTTTGTGCCAAAGCAATTATGAATCATCATGTGAACAACTGACCTAATGTTCATATAAATAGTTATATAGTTTGACAAAGTTTAATAGTCATTCGACAATTGTGCCAAAGCGATTAAGAAAAGCCGTAAAAAGCACAAGAGGTCTGGAAGCAGGTGCTTACTTTGACAAAGTTTTGGAGTTTTTTGTTTTGTTGCTGTAGATCTTTGAAGACATTGACGGCCTCAGTGTGATGGCTGCAGAACTCTCCGTACACCTGCTTCATCTTCTCAGCATTTTCATCTGAGAACTGAGAAAGACGCCATTAAACATTGACTAAAGACATGTATCTGTGTGGGTTTATGTGCATTAATCCATCTTCACCAACCTGCTGAAGCAATACATCTCCAATCTGATGGATGAGGTAATTTTGGGGGTTGTCAGATTGGGTTGAAGCCTGTCTGCGTTCCTGCAGCGCTCCAAAGAGGTTTCGGTGAAAAAGCAGCAGGGGGTCCAAGCAGGGGAAGATCCGGGCCACACAGTCCCAGTCTAGCTGCAGCTCCTCTACCATGCCTCTCCTGAACACCTCTGACATGACTGTCAGGGTTTGGATGTGGTGCAGCTCTGTCTGCATCAGCTCTATATGGGGCAGTCATAGTAGATTATGGAAAATGAAATGAATGTGAGGTGAGACGCTGAGTTGGGCGAAGGATTCTCAGTGGCTGAAATAATTTAATTGATTGAAATAAACCTCCGTGGACAATTGGATTACTCTGGGAAACAAAGGTTTGGCAGAAGCCCAGTGGAACCGCAAAGTGACTACATACCTGCTTCTGTAACTAATTTCAACAATGTTTTGTGGGCCTCCAACTTGGCAGTGTGCACAGTATGTTTTAAGTCATTTAGATGAAGTCCAAGTCAAGTTTCAAGGCACTATCTCTGCCAGTTAGCTAGCTTGACTACTGAAAAAGTGTCTCCCACTGAAGTTTGACTCAACCAGTAAACCTGCTTTACAAATACAGATACAGTTTCCATAATGCATAATGCTTATATAAATTAGTGTATTAAGAAGAATTGTCCCACCATAAATAACATCCTGTCGTTTAATAGTTCGCCTGTCAAGCTGCCTGCAAAACTCCGGACTGACCGCCAGACTCCATGACTCCACCTCAAGTCCCAGCAGGTCAGCTGACAGGTCGCTCAGCAGAGAAGCGTCAACACCATCTGCAGGAACATATATAATGAACAATGTCTTTCTTCCAAACCACAATCCACTCTCCAGTTATTTTCAATATTATGTGTGTGTATAGGTGTGGCAAGTTATGATGCAAGCTCGTCTTTCTCACCCTGTGTGCAGATTGGCGGCTCAGATGACGGGGGAGTCGCTGTGACCGGTGTTCCCTCATCAGACAATGAGCTGTTGGTGCAAGCTGTTGCACTGCACTCACTGTCCACCCCTGCTGCATCACTCAGCCGTCTGTACAGAAACAAAGTAAGTTAATTCTGCTTTGACTAAGTGAGTGTTTGCATGGGGGCGTGTGATCGACAGCTAAGGTTTTATTTGCCATTTTATAACTGATTCCAGTATTTGGTGACAGAAGTTGCATTTGGCTGATATTTTGTGGCAATGTGCAGTTTCCCTCTGAATTTACAGATGCAAAAGTTCACTGAGATCCAGAATTATTAAATCAGTTAATGCAAGTTGGCCTACCCCACCCATTCTATGGTAAAAATATAAGTCATATAACAATATCAACATCATTCTGATATATTAGTTAATATACAGTACAGTATAGTGGTAACACTGCCACCCTACCTGCTGTCTATAGAGATGGAGAGGCTTTTGGTCATTGTGGGAAGTGAAGAGGAAGAGGAGAAAATGGAGGCTGGAGAGTTGTCTTTCGCAGAGTCTGAAAAACAGATCGGGACATTGAGCAGGATGAGGCATCATTCACACCTTGGAGGCTTTTCCATTCTACAAATAGACACTTCAAATGTCTGCTTTCTGTTCAGATGCTTTGTATATATCTATGTAGCCACTGTATGTAATACTAACTGGATTATAAAGCTGTGAGGGAGTGTGCATTAGTTATCTTTCATTGTTCAACTGAGCATGCAGCCTGCAGTTGTGACAATATGTTGTAGTAATTGAAGCAGATTTTGTTTTGACCTTGACACCTTTGTCAGTGAAGACACAGAGCACAATCACATTAAGAAATAAAATGATCCTGCCAATGCAAAAGAAACACTTAACCTCTGCTCTCATGCACAAACACACACTTAAACACAATCCAGGCAAGATCCCCCACTGCGACAGATTAAATTTTAACTTTACCAGGGAAAGAACAACAGGGAAGAGGGGAGAGTGGTATGTGTGTGTAACGAGTGTGCGTATGTGTGTGTGTGTGTGTGTGTGTTTGGGGGGGGGCGGAGGGGCAAAGGCTTTCTTAATATACTACAGGAGAAGCAAGGGAGGACAGGTAAAAAACTGGATTAATCTATGAACAAGGGAGGATACCATGGCAGGGGGGCGCATGCTGTAATTTCTGACTCACTCTGTGGGAGAGACAAGGTCTTGCTTTTCGTCAGCACTGCATTCCTCTCCTGCTTCTGGGGAAAAAGAAAATTATATTAACATCAACAGCTGAAAATCATATTGTTTGTGCTTTAAATATCAAGTTGTTTTGACAGCAAATACTGGAGTCAATACTGGAGTCAATTTATCCCTCAAAAAAGTAAAGAGAGCCGCGCACCCACCCAGATGCTCTTGTTAAACGTCATCAGTTTGTCATGTTCAACACATTCCAGGAGTTCCTTTGTCAGTAAGTGTTGGAATTTACTCTTCTCATTGTTCCCACTTCCTCTCAAGCTGCCTCTATTTCAGTGACAGATTTATTCCTTTTTTTGGCATTTTGCCTTTATCAGACAGCACAGCAGAGTGTGACAGGAAACACATGGAGAAACAGAGGGCAACAAAAGCTGGATTTGAAATGGGGATGTTGCTGCCACCCAAGACCCATGGTCGGTTGACAATTACAGATTTCTACCACTTTTCGAGAAAGGTTTTGACAACCCAGAGAGATCATATATGAACTTACTGGATTCAGAATAGGCCTGCACAACATGATGGAAACCTGCAATGTGCGATAACATTGTTCAATACTGCGATGACAACATGATTTGTGATAAACACACGTACAATACTGATGTGTGCATATTAGATGCCTGGTTGTCTTTAACTTCAGAACAGGATTAGAATTAAATATTTTAAAGTGTATGCTCATTTTCAGGTTCATCACTTTACCACCAGAATCAGAACAGGTTTACATGGCTTCATTTTCAAAAAACAACATATTTTTTGTCACACTGCACATTGCTGCAGCTCCTGTTTTTACCCTGTGTGTATTAGCTGTGGAGTGATGCATCTCACTTCTACAAGATCTTTGTTGGGAGTCGCACATGCGCAGTTTCTAGTTAAGGACTACTAGCCAATCAGAAGCAGAGTAGGGCGGATCCTGAAAAGCTGGTAAACAGGGCTTCGGTTCAGCTGTTTACCAAATTAGCAACATGTACTGGAGCAACAGTTTCAGAGTGGTGAGTTATTAAACATTTTATCTTTCATCCATAAAGTTTTAACTAAGCTCTGTCTCTACATCACAGTAACAACTTTATGTCCATTGACTGCCTGGAGGGTAGCTAGTGTTTGGAAGGGAGAGGAGAGGCAGCAGGCGGATGTCTTGTAACTGTGTGTTTTTCTACTGGTGTTTTTGAGGGCGTGTTGGACTAGACACTTGGCGAGCATTATGACGCGTTCTTTCTTGTGACTTCACAAGAAAGCGGAATAAAAAGATTGACTACAAACAAGTTGTTCAAAAGCAGTTCAGAGCAGTGTTTGCTGTGGGAGATGGGAACTCCCTTTGGTGTGGACTTTGGGCATTTTCACTTTGCAAACCTATTACATGCTCAAAAAAGTAACTCAAAATAACTCAATAAAGGAAAAAGCCAAAAATCATAACTGACCTCTTTAAATATAACTAAATGTAGTTTCTAGACCAGCAACCAGCAGTCAAGTCACTATATAAACTCAAAAATATCTCAATGGAAACAAATCTAAATAAAATAAATTATATTCCTGCATCAAAATACTGAGTTAAGTTTAGAAAGAATAAAAAAACTCAGAAGTCAGCATCAGTCCTTCCTCCTGTCCTCCTCCTGCTGCTGTTATTCACTACATACAGGTAATGTTACCTGGAAGAGAGAAGAGCGGCTGGTTTGTCTGGTTTGTTTACAAGAATGTCCTAATTTTAAGGTACACGGCAAACTAAGCAACACAGTTGGATTACAGACAGACAGCTTTTGTTTTACCTTGTTTGTAACAATTAGCTATTAGCTGGGCTAGCATGCTGTGCTTGTGTAAAACACAGCGAGGGACTGTGAACAGAACAGATTAAAATTTCGCTTTCTACATGTTTATGTTTGTTGAACATGTGTATTGAAGTATTGGCCTTTTACTCCCGAAGGTTTCAGTGCACATACTTTTTTTATTCAGTTCAAAAAGTGTAATTTGTATACTTAAAGGCAACCTGTGGAATTTTTGACCACTAGTAGCGCTATGGAGCAATGTTTCTTGGAGTGGGCACCTGTTCTGTTTGGATCATGTATGCGCACAATAATGCATGCCTGTGTGGCTTGTATTATTCTTCGACACTATTCTGCTGCTTGACAATTAGTGGCGGTAACGTGCCAAGAAACTTAGAAATATACCAACAAACGCAGTAAAAAAGAAGACTGCACGCTTGTAAACATATCTGTAAACAAAGCATGATTTAAAATATGGCTAATCAAATGTTTTATGATAAAGGAAATGAACTAAACATATTTGTTAGATCTCAAAGACAGACAAAACGCGTTTTAGTGAGAATCTCTGAATGTAAACATAACTTGTACAAGAACACTCCACAGGGCACCTTTAATTCACAATACAATATACGTCTATGAGTCTTTTGAGCAAGTGTATTCCAGAGATGGAGTATTGCGCTTCCAAATATTTAGAGGATTTTCAAAAGGCATTTTTAACAAACATGTTCAAATTTGAATGCACTGCCTGTTGCACCTCCTGCGGTGCCCATGGGTCAGTATAGGTCGAGCTCCAATAATGCTAGATCCTGCATTTTCTATAATGCCATCTATTGTATCTTTTTGTTAGACCCTTTTTGGTGCAAATTTGTAGTATCCAAGCTCAAGCTGAGTTAACCGAGATGACATCATAAAAGTTATTTCCTCAGACTTCGTAAATCTCCTCCAGAGCCAAAGAAGACATTATTCACCTGTAGTCACTAGCTGAGTAATGTTAACTTTGACAAATAAACTGACCTATGTGTGCAAATGTGGTAGTGTTTACCTTTATTGGTGAAAAAGACTCATGAAGTCATGCAAGATTGAAAAAGAAGCCCAAGTATAATTGTTGACAATAAATGACATCACATTATTTGTACCTGGGTTGTTATGACAATAAGGTAAAAACATCATCAAAGAAAAAGTAGTCCCAAATATGCATTGTCCGTCACCAACAGCTGTTTTTTAATGTTGATAAAGTCTAAATTTAGAGTGAAATTGTTATTTTGAAATCATTCATTATTCTTCCGTGTTGGTTTTGAGATCAAATGAGGTGTGTTGGTGGTTACCTTTCCACAGGCTGCAACAGACTCTCTGCAGTTTTTATGGACGTTCAGGAAACAGTCTACAAAGGCAGATGAAATCCCAGTTAACTTCATCAGCAAAATGACAATAAACAAAATTACCACATCTCTGGATTCAGTGTCCAGATGGCTGTCAAACTGCCCTGCTCCTCACGATCAATGTTGTCTTTGTAGGAGGAAGAAAACTGACTTCATGTCTTCTGGTAAACAAAACCATCAATGCAGCACGTGCAAAGAGATTTACACTAACCCAAACAGTTCAGCCACCGCCGACATAAAGCAACAACAGTACTGACAGTTTAGTACTTACTGGAGCACTGCAACAGCTCCTTCCCAGAAACAGACTTATCACAGGCCACACAGAGAGCGGGACCAGATGGAGACACAGGAACAAACTGGTGTCCATTAGTGGCTCCTGACTTCTCCTTTCCCTCTTTCACCTCTTTCCCCCTCACCTGAAATGCAAGTCATAAATATTTTAAATGTACTCATTCTGCTGACATTTACTGAAGTTAAGGCCACAATATCATGTAAACCACCAAAGTAGAAAAAACATGACTCTGAGCCACAAACAGAAAGAGGCATATAGCGGTCATGTTCTTGCTGAAACACACCTGCGAAAGTGGAGTTAGTTGAGATAAAGAGGCCTCTGAGCAAGCGTTACTGTTTACTTTGTTAAGGTCCATGGAGACTGGCTGCTGTTGTGGTGCTTTATCCTTAGGGGGACATTAGGGGGATTCTTCTGTGTATGTGTGTGACAGTGCAATGTTTATTTTCTTAGCAAACTTTACAAGGAAGTCTAAGAGTGCATGTTTGTTTTTTCTGTTCATGTGCATCGTGTCTCTGTATATACATGGAAACATGTTCTTGAACACATGCAAACGTGTTTATAAGATTTGAGAGTATACTATGGAATGTGTTTTGGTTCCTCACGCTGTGTGAAGGGGGTCTACCCGTTATGTAAGAGGATACGTTCACTGTGTCCTGTTGCTAAGACCTGAGAAGAGGGAATTTTCTCCCTCACCAAATAAAGGCACTGTGCACAGACAATGGCTCCCCAGCACAAGAATTCTGACCTGGCCTGTCTGAGAGGTGGTAATCCTTTTACTGCACTACATTAGGAGGCCTCTGACCTTGTTTTTATATACAGTATTTTAATCAGTTTTAGGCAGGTATGGAAAAGTGCTATAAAGTATGAATGCCTTCAAAAATAGACATGTTAATATATTATGTTTATAAATTAACAAAATGCAAAGTAAGTGACAGAAGAAAACTCTAAATCAAATGAAAATTTGGTGTGACCACCCTTTGCCTTTAAAACAGCATCAGTTCTTCTAGGTACACATGCACATAGTTCTCGAAGGAACTCTGCAAGCAGGTTGCCCCAAACATCTTGGACAACTACCCACAGTCCTTCTGTGGATTTAGACAGCCTGATGATGTCGAGATCAGGATTCTGTGGGGGCCATAAAATCACTTCTAGGACTCCTTGTTCTTCTTTACAGTGAAGATAGTTCTTAATTACTTTCTCTGTATGTTTGATGGTAGTTATACTGCATAATGTTTATACAGTCATACAGCAGAACAAATTTGGGGCCAATCAAATGGCTCCCTGATGGTACTGCATGATGAACAAGTATCTGCCTGAACTTCTCATCACTGATGGGGCCATTTATTCTGACCAAATCCCCAACTCTGTTTGCAGAAATGCAGCCCCAAACTTGCAAGAAACCTCCACCGTGCTTCACTGTTGCCTGCAGACACTCTTTCTAGTACCACTCTCCAGCCTTTCGGCGAACAAAATAGTTTCCTTGGCCGACCACTCCATCTACGGTCCTCAACGTTCCCAGTTTCTGATTCTCTCTTCTTCAAAAGAGTTTAGACAGCACATCTGGAATCCCCTGTCCGCTCTGAAATTTCTGCCTGGGAGAGACCTTGCTGACGCAGTGTAACTACCTTGTGTCTTGTTTCTGTGCTCAGTCTTACCATGGTGGATGACTTTTGACAGTAAACCTCACCTTGTTGGCTGAGTTTGGCTGTTCTCACCCAGTTGTAATCCTCCTACACAGCTGATTCTGTTTCAGTTAATGACTGTGTTTCAACCTACATACTGAATTGGTGATCATTAGCACCTGTTTGGTATAATTGTTTAATCATACACCTGATGATATGCCTACAAAATCTTTGTGCATGTGCACCTAGAAGAAGTGATGCTGCTTTGAAGGCAAAGGGTGGTCACACCAAATATTGTTTTTTCCGTTTACTCACTTTGTATTTGGTTAATTGATAAATATAATCTATTAACATGTCTATTTTTGAAATAGACTTTACAGCATTTTTCCACACCTACCCTTAAACTTTTGCACAGTACTGTATATACATTCAACAATGGGGATTTCTCAGTCATGTTTTAAACACATGTAGGTGAAATCTTAGCCAGCAGGCATCATATTTTCCACTGTGGTGTAGTCCACTGTGTAGACTTACCTTGGTCTTGTTGCGAGTGCTGGACATCCTGCTCTTGAGGAAGCTGAAGGTCCGGCTGACTTTGTACTTCTCTGACTCAACCTTAGATGGGACTATGTATTTATCCCACTCCTCATCCTCAATCCTGTTTAAGTGTGAAAATTTCAGTCAGCAGTCATTCACAACTTCTCCCATCATTTTGGCCTGTGGAAGACTGCAGCTTTCAAGCCCAACATGCACACTCTTCATAAAACCAATTATTATTTTAGTCTTTCAATATACTAAGAACCGTTTAATAATCAGGTACATTGGTGTCATGCTGGAATGAAAGAATGTCCTCACAGTCTTCCAGGACCCCTGGTCTACAGACTATTACTCTTAACAACATGCCTGGCATGCTTGGAATTCACTATGGACTCTAGTGGATGCTATTTATAGTATGACTTTGGCAAGATGCAATTAATAATGTGTCAACTATTGACAGCAACTTATGTGAGTTAAGTTTAGATAGTCTATGTGAAAGGCAACAGTCACAGAATCTATTCCACCTATGAAGCATGCAATATCACATCAAACCTACACTGTGACCTGACATAAAAAGTACAGCTTCAAAGAGTCAATGTGGTTAATGGATCAGTTGGGGAATGGTTTTATGGTGGGGTTAGAATGAGTTAAGCCATACATGCATGGCTATGAGGCCATTTTGGTGAAAACATACTCTTTGAGGAACTCTGTGAGGGTGAGATGTTGGAGTGATGCGCTGCTCTCCTCCTCTGCTGACTGGGCCCGCTTACGGAAACCCAAAATCCTGCATGGATATAACACACCTCAGGCTAGGTTGTCATGTTTTGGATCATCAGGAGACTCAAAATGTTAATAATGTGTGTGGCATCTAAGATTGGAGTCCACACATATCATTTCTGGGCTTAATAAAGTGATTATGGAAAAGAAAGATGACTTCAGGTTTTAATGTGGATAGTCAAATGGAGTTTTGTGCTACATACTGTTTTAGTAAAACATATAACATATTTACCAATGCATAAGGCCGAGGCAACATCCACAATTTGTTAACATTGGATGGATACTGATATTGCAAGACACAAAAATGGTTGGTGAGTCTGATCAGGTTGGTGAATATTGTAGTATTAATACAATCTAGTCTAATACAGAAATCTAATAATCTACAATGCTAATATAATTGCCTAATGTGATGTGCTAAAATGTTTCCTCTGTTAGCAATGCATGGTTATTAGCAAACAAAATGTATTAGCGCATGATACATTTATGAGGCAGTGAGATGAAATACACTTAAGCAAAATGTGTCACATGGTGGGATTGTAAAGCAAATGTTAATTGAGTATGTGAGTGTTAAAATCTATATTGAAAATGCATTCTACAATATGTACATACAAAAAAAAATCTGTATTATTGATGAGGTCTAGGAATTATCTAGATGTTCCTGTGGTCTGGAGTCCATGAAAGCCCATGAGTTTTGCTGTTTACTTAGGTTTATTTTGAGGTTGCAATCAGAGCATATTCTGGCCTTGAAACAGGAAGTATGTCACATCCTGCCCAGTCAGACCCCAGCCACAGTTTTAATACTGAAGGTACATATGCAAATGCACAAATACATGTATGCAGGCCCTTCTAAGCCAATCTCTAACCGCTGGTCAACACTGACACCTAAAAAGGGAGGAACATGTGAGCAATAGATGCTGAGCACAGTTAAGTGTTTTGCTCCTGAGCTCATGAAATGACACACTGGTTTTACCTCTTTTCTCTGGGAGTCTCAGTCAGGCTGAATACTCTCTGCTCTGTAAGGTAGAGAAACAAGGACAGACAAACGAGTAAGCCAGAAATGCATGTCACTAAAATTGAAGACGTTATTGAGGTCATTAAAAACCACAACCCCCAATCAGAATTCAGCAAATACAAGACACCCAAACAAAGAACAAAGTAATAGAGTTTGCCTTGAAAACCAGATGACACCAAAGACAGAAAACCAAAACCAAGAGGGAAACAAAATATGTACCCAGATGGAAAGCAACAGAGCCCTCAGAGTAGAAACAGCCCCTCCTTCAGATGATCTATAAGCATTAGGTCGAAAGAATTTTTCCAAAGCCTCAGGATATTAAAAACGCATAGTCTTAAAAGATTCAGACCTCTACTTGTCAGTCATTATATAAATGAGTGGAGTTTGGATGACTATTGTTTTATTACGATGGAAAAAAGTCTTGATGTCAAGCTTTGGAGAAAGTCTGTTCTTGCTCTCCCAGCAATTCAGAATAATAATGAATATGTGTTCTTCTCTGAGACGGTGGTTTGTGCATTGCACATTATGAGTGCCCCACTTACCACCAAAAACAGAATCTTACCACAGATATAGGGGCTGCACAATTTGGGCCACAATGAGAAACAACATTGTTTTGCAAAACTGCATAATCAAAATATCCAGGGAAATAATTTTACAGCAAAACATGTAGCAAAGTGGTTTGGTTCAATCCAGACTGTTTCAATCACTGTACTACAGTCCTTTTTTGTAAAATATTAACTTTTAAATAACATTGGCTCATGAAAAATTTAAATATAGCAGGTATGCCTTTTAATTGTGCAGCTCTTGATAATCACCAGTTTATTAAATGGTTCACCAGAAAAAGCAAGAATACACACTGAAATGTTTTCACCGGGCAGCCAAATTGCTGCTTGATGCTGTTCTTGTACTTACTAACTTGGTTGAGAAGAGAGAGGGATTTAGAGAGAGATAAAGCTTGAAGTAGTGAACGACTGCTGCTGTTGAACGCACCATCTACACGGGACAAAGCATGGCCTTAACTCTGCGCACTCATACTGTATGTACTTACACACATGAGTAGTGAAGCTGTATCAAAGCAGAACTGACAATAAACACACTTTATAGAGGCTCAGCTGATTTGTGACACCTGTCTGGTCTTCCCCCTGTGACACGTGGCACATGTGTCCATTCAGCTGGCTCCTGGGAGCAGAGTGGTCACGCGGCCAGGGGGTGAAAGTTCACTCACCTTCTGCCAGGTCAGTGATGGTTGCTTCTCGGTTTAGCAGCGGCCGTGATGGCTTCAACTTTGGGGAGGAGTAGGAATAGGAGCGCAGGCGAACCTCGGCATCCTCTGGGTTCTGGGCAAGAGAGTAGATCAGAAGGAACAGATCAGGCAGAGCAGAAAGCAGAAGTTCTCCATGTATATGACCTTTCATTCACATTATTGAGCTGTTGATAGTCTGAGCATGTTAGCCGAGGACTGTCTGTGAGGCTGGCTGTTATTTTACTGTATGATATCTTAATATTTTATTGTGCTTGTAAAGCCTTTTCCTATAAATCCTGCTGCAATTGATTTATAATTAATTGATAATTGAATCAAAGAACGATACCTCAGATCCATTCAGCACATCATGCCACAGTGAGAACAGACACAGGTAAACTGCCCATCTGTCAGCTGAAGTTCATAGTCAAACTGTTGATTGCCTCACAAGCTATTTTATGAATTTAAAGAAGTAGGTAGTCAGTACGAATAATCAAAAACCTTTAAATATCTTGTCTAGAGGGCAAGATGGTTATAAAGAGTGTTTTAATTTATTGTTTAGAATAAAGAAGTGAGAGGAACCAGGAGGGGAGGTTTTGCAGGCATTCTATCTCCTGTCACCTGCATGGAGGAAAACATTGTCGCTAGCTATTTCATACAACATGTCTAATGAGAGTGCACCTTGGTGGATTTGTGCGCGCGGTCAAAGTGCGTGTGGTTAAAGTCTGGTGATGTGTCGAAAGAGTCCCTCTCCTCTCCTGAGCTGGATCGCAGGATGGACTGCTTCTTCAAAGATGAGCAGGGGTAGGAATGTCCCAGTATGTCATCTTCTCCACTGTCACACTCCAGACTAGGACTATTTACACCCACACACACACACACAGATGCAAACACAAAATTCAGAGGTGCTACTGTTGCTACGTATGTGATTACATTAAGCTAGGAACAACCAAAAAGACTGTTAAATGTCTTGGCATCACACGCTACAGTTGTGGACATAAACATGATGAGATTCCTGTCAGCAACACATTCATATTTGTTCATAAAGCAGTCTTAAATCAACCCACTCTGATATGATCATGATGCCTCCAACTGCTCCATAACTGAACTGGGGTCAGATATAAATCCTAAATTCAGGCACGGTACAAGACACTATGCTGATCCTTTGTCTATGATGACCTTGTACTGACGACCTTGATCTTAAAAATCACCATGGCCAAATCCAGGCCACAATCAGGCTTTAATCTGCGTAGCATTTTGACGGCTTCAGTGCTCACAGAGAAGATCCTGCAGTACTGAGGAAACTGGAAGGAATGTTAAGCAACTTCAACACACAAACAGCTCAATTGTGTCCAGGCTTCCTGTCACTTTCCGCACCTTCACTGACTACAATCACTGAAAAATAAATTTAAGAAAAAACACTTGCAAACAGACGATACTTGGTTGAGTATGGGTTAGTCACAGGAATGTTTGCGCTTCTTATCAATGAGATTATACAAGTTTCTAAATCAGTGCACTGATTTTCAAGGAATCAAGTTGGCCATAATGGGCATAAAGTGTTTGTTCTTTCACTTTAAATAAAAAAAACTTGACCACTTGTAAAAAGTTCACTCTTTGATTTTTTTATTTAACAATTAACAGCAATAGCGTCCTACCTCAGGCCCCGACTCGCCTCCGTCAAGCTGCATCCTCTGTGATTCAAAGCAGGAGAAACTGGCAGACACGGCTGTATCTGGCGCCTCTGTGCTCCCTCGAACAAACGGAAGGCGGAAGCCAGTGGGGAGGAAGGAAAAGACGGGGAGGAAGCAAAGGGAGAGGAGGGAGAGACCCGAGGGGATGGCTCCCTGTGATTCTCTAGGCCGAGGCCTTGGATTCCCCTCTCCCCATTATGAGAGCAGTTCCTTGAGTCAGCGGGAGCCATGGAGAAAGAGTCCCAGCATGGGCTGCCAACATGGGGCGCATGGCTCATCTCCTCCTCCCCTGGAGTGCGGTATTTAATGTCAGCGTCATCCACCTGGAACAGAAAAGTGAGACAATGATACAATGAGGCAATGACAAGTGTTCTCACAGGCAGATTTGTAGCTCCTGTAATGGAATATTTTACATCATATCATATGAGCCAAGTCTGTTTTTAAGTTGATTTACATAGCATAGTTTTTTGCTTACACAACAAAGAAAGAAACACAAATTTCAGCTTGACTCACCTGGTCCACTAGCATGGTGTTAGCGTACACTCTGTCTTTGCCATGTATCATAGCTGACAGTCTGGCAGCCGCAGCCAGAGTCGGGGACAAGGCCTGGCTCTCCGTTATGGACTGGCTTTTCTCTACAGAGAGGGGGGAGCCAGAGAGAGAGAGAGAGAGAGAGAGAGAGAGAGAGAGAGAGAGAGAGAGAGAGAGAGAGAGAGAGAGAGAGAGAGAGAGAGAGAGAGAGAGTGGATTTTTCAATATTACATTTGGTTTCCACAGCAACACCAAATAACTTCTTACAAACACGGGAAATGACATAGACATCCTGGGCAGTTGCATGTCATTGTTCAGGACCAAGAGTCTCTGTGTAAGTGTGTGTGTCTGTCTGAGCGGCTCTTTGCACACACACGTGAATGGGTGTGCATGGAGTTGTGAGTGGGCATCTGTAGGCATGTTTCTTCCCCACCCTGCCTTCAATACAGCGAGCGAGTGGAAATAACTCCTGGTGAGCACACAGTAGCATTGAGAGGAACCCTTTCAATACAGTGGAGTCACTGTGAGCAGTATACTTGGTTTTGCTATTAAACAGGGGGAAACACTCCTGCTCTGAAAGCACACACAGCTCCCTCTGGGATATTGCTCTGTATAAAACACAGCTTCTCTAAAACACTATTTGTTAGAAAGTAATTTAGGTTAGAAAACAGTCTACACAAATACACAAACACAAAAAGGCTGAACATTACGAACCACAGCGCTCACCACAACAAACCTTTGATGGGACATATATCCAGTACAGTTAAGTACTGTTTAAGCTTATTTGTGCAATGTAATGAACTATAATAAAGTAAACACTGAATGAATTTGTGGAGGTCAGATTGGGAAAAAAAACATGGGTTCACACTAAAACATGAACACTAATGTACTACAATTCCAACTCAACATGTAAATGTCAATGTAGGCTAAATGTTAAGAATGAATACAAACATTAAAGTTAACACAAAATTGCCACTGTGTATCTATTGCATGTCTGTGTACTATGTACAGTATTTGTTTTAGTTAAACTGAATGCTCATGATGCACTGTCCCAAACAAAATACAAAGTGGAAGTGAACAAGAGCTATAAACTGGTGGGAATAACTGCTGAAAATGAAGGTTTGGGATCATGTGATATGATCGAAAGATCCACAGCAGCAGCTAGGCCTTAATGGATCTTAAGGTTTGATTCTTTGTCAGCTGCGGTTCCAAAGGTCAAAAATGAACTCCACTGTAAAGTCAACATGGACGAAAAGTTCCTCAGTAAAAATGGAAATGTTAACATCTACATTTCTATTACAAATGGGCAACATCTGCTGATGAAGAGCATGTGACGTGATCTCCAAAAACAGCTACTAAATGGACCTTAAGGTGCGACTGTTTTGTTAACAGCTGTTTTCAAAGTCAAGAATGACTTGGGGTTGTTTGTGATCACTCTTTGATCAAAACCTCAGTTTGGTCCTTTTGTTTTCAAACGTATGTGAAGTCTCAGATGTATGGTAGTTTCCACTAGGTGTTACCATACATAACATTGTTTGAATGTTCTTTCTAACTTTGTCAAAACAGCTTGCAACATTTATTTGTGAAAGACTGTCAAAATCACTACAAATCAAACCTTAACCAGCATTCTGGTCTACTTTAATATACTCCTTTTTCTTTTCTTTTTTTTACAGCCATTAATCAGTGGAGAAATGTGCCTCTGTCTCTTCAATTATGAATTTTCCGCTGTATGATTGCTGAATATTAGTTCAAAACAGTCAATTCAATCTATTCAAAGAAGCCATTGCTCTTTGATTCTGAGGAACTGACACCAAAGTTTAAAGATTACCATTGATCTTTAAAGAATCTACAATGTTTGCATTGTCAAACTCCAGTCATACCTGGTCATGAACAGCACTAAGAAAACTACATCACCAAATTACAAGAAACTTACCCCCCAATGACTCATAAATCTACCAACTCCCCTTCAGTGCTCATGTGGAGCTTCTAAGTAAGCACACAGAAATAGATTATGGTAAATTTCAGTGGCTCACGTGTACGACAGAATTATGCATGTGAAGTGCAGCAATGAAAAAAAAGCATTGACTGGGAAAACTAACCACATAACAACTGGTAGTAACAGTGCTACACTTACTTACATACTAACCAGAATAGGAAACCTCATTAGCTTAGTTATATTATTATGTTGCTAATGACCTTATACTGGCCAAGCCATGCCTGCGACAATGCCACAATTTCCACCCAAACCCCTCAAGCTGGTATTAAACCTCTTAAAAAAAAACAATCCATAGTTTCTCCATAGTTTCCAAGCTGCCAGCACCACAGAGTAGGAGAAGAGAAGTCCAGCATTTGTAGCAGAGAATAAATCAGACCAACAATTGGCTGTGCTTCCTGTAGGCAGTGAGTCCAATAAATCTGAGGCAACTGGGAGACATTGATGAGGACACCAGATGACTCCTGTTTCATCAACGTCAAATGTAAAGACATAGACTCGAGCTGAACCACTGAAGGATATACAGAGCCAACTCCGCATTGATCCTCAAGTTCTGAAGTATCTCTCGAACTGCACCATATCTTCCAAAAATGTACTGTACTGTAAGTTACTACAGCCTGAAATCAGCAGAATATGGCAAAATATAAACGTTACAACCTGTTGTTAAATAAACCTCTGGGTCCTCTTAGTTCCACATAAAAACACAATACTGCTTATGAACCTGAATCCTGATCCATAGTACCTGCATAAAGTCATGTTAGACCTTCTACTTATATATTGCAGGATTAGTTTTAGTCCAACGTCAAATCCAGGGAGGGGGTCACATTCTGGATGAGGGTCAAAACATTTGAAAGCAGATATTGTTTCATATAAGCCCACTTAAGGAACTTGACAGATAGGACTAATAGTCAAGGCTCTGGGCCAGCTCGAAAGCCACAGTTGGCTGCCACAGGTCCAATGATTCACACACCTCTGACCCATAAACACCACCTCAGTGAACATTACTGTCAGGCGCTACGATCTGTGTTTAACATTAGTTAACTGGAGGAATAACGGAGAAGCAGGGAGGTCATATTACTAACAAGTTAGTGCTGCACAAAATCAATCTTTGTGCTGGAGCAGCTGTCTTTATCACTGAGATGGAGAGCGCTGTCCACAGGTTGCCATTTCAAAGAAGGCTTTAAGGAATGCAAAGCTGTGTGTGGGGCTATTTGTTTAGGATTTTACTCACAGATGTTATATTTGTAGTGATGTGATATTCAAAGTCCCTGAGCGAGAGCCAACCCTATACAGTAGCAGCGCCTGGAGCGGCAGCAGAGAGAAAAAGAGAGAGCTCAGGCTTTATAGAGTCCCAGACAAAGAGAGCAGTCAGTGCCAGGTTTCCAGACCAGGGCAGTTAAACACAGAGAGTGACCCTTCAACGCATGCACACCCCTGGGAGAGAGAGAGAGAGATCGAGGGAGGCAGGATGGAAAGGGGGGAGGCTGTCACAAGGCTTCTTTCTCAAGGTTCGCTCTGTTTGGGAGCTGCTGGTGTGCTGAAAATGGCAAAACAAAAAAGATCAAGATGAAGAGACAATTATAATTGTTAATTGTGTAAACACCTAGGCTTGTTTGTTGTGAGTATAAAGAGATTATTTGTCCATGCTGTCCCTTCTCTTTATGATGTAAGTTGCTTTTTGAGCACCGCACTAAACAACTGTCACTTAGAGCTGGGGGAGAGTACAATAACAAGCTGAGTCTAAAAAAAGCACAACAGAGGGTGTCATTACCTCATAGAAGGGGCAAGGTAATTATTTGACTTCAGTGTTCACGGAGGGCTGTTTAAATCATTAAAACGATTGTGCACCAAAATCCACAAACCCACTCTGAGTTGTGACACCTGTGGTCAAACATCCCGGTCCAAGCATCACATCGTGCATTCCTGTTGTGCTTACATTTCAGTGAGTCACCCGGCCCGAGAGATTCAGGCAGAGGTAAACCCAGAGCGAACAGCGATCAGTCCTCAGAGTGAAGAAATAAACTTGAGGCTCTGTACACCTGAAATCACATTTCACTTTGCAGGTGCATTGTTACACCGGTAATGTTTCACTTCAGATTTCTAAATCCACTTGTAGAATGTAAGGTCAGTTTAAAAAAATGTATATAGTGCCGATGTTTCAGCTCTGCAACTGAATAGCACAGACAGGCAGTGTGTATAAAATTTGCCGATGTCAATCACAATTAAGAGGCAATAACATGCATGGATAATCTTGCAGAGGTTTATGGTGAAAGATGAGGAAAAGAGCACTGGAGTCAAGCCATGACACAGACATGGCAGTAACTTGATCTTCCTCTGTGTCTTTCTCTCGCTGTCTCTCTTCCCAACAAACACACACAGTGACTTTCACACAAGCAATGAACTGTTTAACCATTCTGGTTTAATTTTGCACTATTTTAGGCATTCACTTCAGCTCTCCCATGACTAATGATGAAGCTACAAACTTGTGTGCCAAGATTAAGCACTAGGATTAACTTGATTCTGCTTCAGTTTCTCATAAATCACCAATAAACTGTGGCAAACACTGCCTTTTGGCACCACTTCCGTGACATATGAACAAAAATTGATTATGACATTAACCTGATTGTTGTTTACCTGAGCATAGGTATATGAATGCATATATTAAGCACTGGGCCTCACCTTTGCACTTCATGGACCCAGCAATCACATGAGGCCACGACTCCTCAGTGAGGTTCATTCATGCAACAGTGTGGCTGGAGGATGTCAAAAGCCCCAAACCACTTAATCAGCCTTGAGTAGACATCTGACATTCCCCAACATACTGTCAGATATCAGGTTACATCACTGGCAAACATGCAGTTATCTCACTCTGATTGACTCGCTGCTGCAGAGGAGGCCTGTAAATAAGTGAGTGTGTAATGGGAACAGTCTAATTTTAACTGTGTTGTTCCACAGTGATGGTGAGGCATTTTAGCGGTAAAGTTTTCCATTTGCCATCTGTAACTTGATGTAGCTATAAGAAAAGAGATGTAATGGAAAAAGAAAAACTGGCCAGTGTATACAGGTAGCCGTTTTCTTTCTGACATTGATCCACATGCATCTGATGTCTGTTAAACACTGCAATAGTTAACATGTCAGTTAATATTTCTGTTCTGTCAAATTAAATGTGACCTTGTCAAAATAAATGGCTACTCATACAACCAATAAATAAGTGTTCTGTGTGACATGACAGAGACACAGTTCTTCTATAAATTAATAAATTAAGATTTCAACATCTATTAATGACAGCACCACTCAGTGTTACCTTTTTTGCCCGTCTTCCTGCGCATCCTCATCTTAGGAAAAGAGGGCCAGGAGTAGTTGAACGGAGAGTCAGAGTCAGAATCCATGATTCGCAATCTTCAAGAAAATCTTTATCCAGCTCAAGGTGTTTGATAAATAAATGAACAGCGCCTCAGTTTACATCCATTTCCCAAAGGATGAACAGACTGCGGACTGGCTGCAGTGTTCTCTCTCCTTTTTCCAGAGTCTCGCTGTAGACACTCTTGACACTTCAGGAGTGAGCCAGCATGTTCCCCTCTGTCTCCCCCAACCACCCCTCCCCCTAAAATCCACCCCTTCCCCCTCCACAACTCTGCCCAACTGTCCAACTGCGCAAGGACCGAACCCTGTCGTCTCCCTCTGCTCCTGTTCTTGAGCTTTCTCTATCTCAAGAACAAGAGTGTGTCCTGACTTTCTGACTTCTCTTCTCAAATCTGTGCCAAACTTTGGGTCTCTTAGTGTCTCTCTGTCCTCCTCAGTCACTCATCTTCCACACACAGTACGGAGGGAGAGGGAGAGAGATCAACACATGCTGACAGGCGCAGGGGGAGGAGTATATTGACGGCCGGAAAGAGTGACTGAAGGAGGGAGAGAAACAGAAAGAGACAAAGTCAAATATAGGAGTGACTTCAGAACCTACAGTGAAGACAAACACAAGGGCAGCAGAGGTGAGTCTCAGACACGGGAGAAATCATTAACCCTGTGAGTTCATGATTGTCTTAGAGATGCCAGGCTGCAGAGCTGCACACTCCAAGGTACAAGCCATTCACCCCAAATATGCCTGATGCCACGTCTGAAGAGACTGCTCTTCAGACGCTGTCTCTTTCTCTGTATTTTAGCATGTCAAAGCCAAGCTGAGGGGGAAAGGGGTTTAGAGGGGGGGGGGGGGGGGGGACTGCCAGGTCAGCAGCCTCACCATGGAGACAGCACTGAGCGCTGCTGTTTTTTTCTTCTTCCATGCCCCTCCCCCCCACCCCTCGCCAACTTGCAGGAGTACAGTGCTCAATTTGCAGCAGCAAGGACACATAGAAGTTTGGCTAGAGGTGGTAAAAGTGAGAGAATGGGATGGTGAAGGGGGTTTAAGAGACAAACCAGACAATGGCACTCTGGAAAGAGGCCCAACATAGGTTTATAAACGCACATAAATGAAGGAATGTGATAAAAAAAAAGAGAGAGCGAAAACAGGGATGAGAAGAGTTTTGTAGGCAGAATATAGGCAGGAAACAGAAGTCCACAGAAACTATAGAAAGTAGTTCCTGTGTGTGCGCTTGGGGAGGGGTGATACAGGGTGTTGGCACTGTACTAGTGAACATTAATGCTGCCTTTGTGGGGTCTCTGTGAGGTTTAATCCTTTTTTTCCGTTCTCCAATTAGATCCCTCAGCCGGGGTCGAAGACTCTTGTTAGCGTTCTTGGCGTTGCACTCATCGTCTGTTGTCAACCTGCCAGACTATCCATATCATAAATCTTTTTCTCTTCGTCTCTCTCTCTTCCCCCCTATTACACACACACACACACACACACACACACACACACACACACACACCATTCTCACAGTCTCCGCTCTGCTCTCCCTGGGGATCTCAACAAGCTGCTGGAAGACTGCATTCGGCAAAGCCCTGGCAACCCCCATTCAGCCAAAAACGCCCCCTTTTTTTCACTTCCCCATACCCCTTGCCCCCTTCCAAGCGCTCTTCCCCACAAGTGCACACAAACACTGACAACACACACACACACACACATCAACCTCCTTCCTCGAAGAGCAGAGCTCCTTGGGATGAAGTGGCCCTTTGCTGTTTGTTCACTAAACTCACGATATAATGCTGACCTGGGAGGGTGGGACTCGGGGGCACGGGTGTATGGGTGCATGAGTCTGTCTGTTTGTGTGTGTATGTAGGTATTTGGGAGCAAGTGTGTGTTTTTGGTCGCGTATTTTAATTTTGGGGGCATTAGGAGGGCAGATGTGGGGGAAAGAGGAGGGGAGTGGAAGGGTGGAAGAAAATAGAGAACTTTTATATTTACATTCTAAAACTTGTACAACCTGTTGTGGCAGTACTGTATGTCATTACAGTCCTGGCAACAAAGTTACAGTCATTTGAATTCGAGGGAGGACCGAGCTGACATCAAGAAGAGGAAGGGAACGGAACATGACATCTATGCTCAAAATTCCTCATCCCTTGCCGAAGCTCTGTGTACAGAAGTTCTGTCTGTGTATTTGATGACGCATTAGCTCAAGTCAAGCGGCTATATTGCATGTGATAAAAACAGACTGGAATCCCACTATATGCTTCACTGCTTTGTTAAAAAAAACAACCTGCTCGCCACTAAGGCCCAACCGCTTAGAAATGTCTAATGAGGAATTGAAATTCCTCAAAGGTCAAATAAGCATTGTAATCCTGGAAGAATAACATGTATAAAACCTGAATCATTTTCAGTCTGAGCTATTTTTTTAATTCAAACATGGCACTGAGGGGAAACTTGGAGAAAAACAGGATTCAAGTGACCAGTGTTATTCGTCTGAACCACAAAGAGAGTTTGAGGTCACAGGCAGGCAGTCTTCAAAGTCTACACAGAAAAGGTCCTCAATCAGCCAACAAACATACACACACATTCACAAATACACATATGCAGACAGAGTACAAAATGGCTAAACCATATAGCGTGGAAAACAACACCAGCCACAGGAAGTCAAGATTGCAGATGTCCTGTGCCAAGTGTTATAAAGCCTGAAGCCTCAGCTTGTAACCACAGCATTCTTACACTGAGGCATCAGTCTTCTCTGCAGCAATACAAGCCAATTATTAACCCACAGGATGTTCCCACTCTCAAATCCTTCCCGTCCAGAATCAGAGTGAAGCCACCTTCAGCCACCTAGTTAGGATTCATTTATGCTCCCATGTCACTGCTGGCAGGAATAGGATGACTCAGAATTGGTTACAGGAGTGTTCACTACATATTGTATTAAAAACAGCCACAGTCACTGTAAACACAGGGGGACCAAACTCCAAAAACTCCAGAGAGGGGGGGGGCAAGACAAGCCAGGGGGCTGAAATGTGATCCTATAGTCTGTGGGGATGGTTGACAACCATAGTCGAGGATTAGAGTTGAGTTCCAAGTTCTGTTCAGGAAAGGAAATGTTTCCTGCAGTTGGACTCACTTAATGATTGGAAGCTACTTGGATAACTTCCTATGAATATAACACCACCTATAACAACAATGATCACTTTCAGTCTGCACAAAACATGATCTACAGCTGATGCACCACAAGCTCTAAAATTAAAACCACATCTAAAAACAGGCTTCTGAGAAAGTAACCTCGCTTAGAAAGAAGTTTGAAAAGACTTTTAAAAATAAAATCTTTACCAGAGTCACACCGCGATGGATCGTCCTCTTCGTCCTCCTCATTCAGGGAAAACATCAGCGGCTCCTCATAGACCTGAGTGAAAAAACAGGGAACCTTTCACCAAATAGCACGCACATTTCCACAGTGAGACTTTCTCATCAGGCTACAAGCACGCCACAAAAGTTAGAAAAAATCGAGTAGAGCTAAGTAGAAAAACAAATGTGTTTGGCAAGAGCCTAGGTGTGTGACAGAGAAAGATCAATTAGGTAACCATCTGTATCACATAAAACAGGTCCTATTGGATGACCAGCATCACGTGCACACGCCACCTCTCAAAACATTGAAATATACACTTGACTGCTCCCAAAGTTAGCTATTCAGTGGCATGTGCAAGGTGCCAACTCCAACACCTTAACAATAAGGGTGAAACAATGTGGCGCACTGATGGGCAGTCAGTGCCTTGTTGGGGCCATGACCGCAGTTTGCCATTGGCTGATGCAGATGTTCATGGAAACTGAATGGAGCTTTGAGAGTTTTACAATTTGAAATCAGATATCCAGGATTATTTTTAAGTAACACCTGTTGTTGCAAAATAAAAGCACCAGATTAGTCTGGAAGTGTTTGGAAGGACAGCAAACATATGACTGATCTCATCAGATAAAGGTGTTTGAACACAAGTTCCAGGGAGATTTACAATACGAGTAAAATAGATTCAGGTCATATTTCTCTGTTTATGTAAATTATTATGAGAAAATCCATCCCTGTCCTTGCATCAAATACTCACATTTTCTTCTACAGCAGAGTTCCCTCCATTAATATCAGAATACAGTGCTGAAAGAAGAGAAAACATAGTCACAGCTATACAGCAGCCATAAAACGTAAAAGAGGCTCGAGTAAGCACAGATGTTTGTCCGTTTTTAATGATGTATGCACCATGTAAAGTCTTTATTTTCTTTTCTTTTCATAACCTGGGGAGATCTTTACCATGCGGCCTTGATCTCCTTTCTTTTCAATTAACTACCACGTGCATCCCAGATCAAAGGACGCAAGGACTGCTTACCAGAAACAAAGCAGCGACACGCAAACATTAATGTTTGGGTGGTTCGACATGAGGCCTGGGGTCACATAAAAATATAAAGGCAGGAAATGTAGGAGAGGGAAGCGGCAGCGACCCATAAAGTATATAAAAGTTGAGAGAGAACGTCAGAGACAGAAAATACGTGACAAGAGGAGACGTAAAAAGCAAAGGCTGAGAAGGGAGAAGATGTAAAGTATAGGAAAATGCTAAACAACCTTACTTTGACAAAGTTCTTTCTGTACCTCAGCATGATACCATAAAACACATTCACTCAAGTTTAATACAGAGATGCCAGCTGGCTCTGATGCTGAAGTTGTTTCCCACAGACTTGCAATACCTCAAAAGCACACAGGAGGGCAGTCAATACTCTAACCTGATTCAAGCCACAGTATCTAGACTCAAAAACCACTAGAACAAAAATTGGCAGATCAAATCAACATAAAAGAGAAGAGTTAAGACAGGGTAGTTAAGTTCAACTAGATCTCTCAAGTCCCAACAAGCATACAGATGAGGGAAGGTATGATACCGTTCTCTGTAGGGATATCCAACAGTTCTTCCTTCCCTAAGACGGTCTCCACACGCTCCCTCCTTAGTGCTTTGATCTGTGTGAGGAAAGGTAATGTTTAAGTGAGAGGGTTCAGTGAACTAAAATTTATAGACTGAATATATATGGACTGATTTTGACTCCATGCTTACTTTATATGTGAAATTAATCAATTTCCAACTAGTTTTATTTTGATGGTGTTTTAGTGTAGAGGTGCTAATGAAAGGCCCAATCATTAATTTTGACTATAAAAATGCCAGGTGTATTTGCATATCTGACCATAATAAACAGCGTTCTGTTTTAATGCTGTGTTTGCATGCCTTTACCAGCAACAGACAGCAGTGACAACCCAAACTCACCTCTCTGATGAAGACTTCATCTCTGAGCCGGTCTCTGAGGAGCAGGATGTCAGCGTGCCGGCTCTCCTCTGTGCTCCACCTCAGGTTTTGTCGGACGGTCAGAGTCAGGTTCCCCGTATCATGACAGAACCTCAGCAAGCGGGACCGGTCTGCCCACACCTGAGACAGACCTGCTGGAGGTGTGGCTAGAGGATTGGGTGGACTGTAGCATAACGGGTGGGTAAGTTTAACCACAAGTCACAACAAAAAACATGAGTATTGATATTCTTAAAAAATAGTGTTTTCATCATTAAAACTGTGGAGACTTTCAAAGCCATTAGACATTATAAATTAATCTCCACAAGTACTGTCACTCAATGCAGATGATGATTTTTTCCAAACAATTAAACCGGCCAACAATGCTGGGCTAAAGGTTTATGGATCCTTATAGGTGTTAGCATTTTATATGTCCAAAAAATGTAGATCAACCAGTATATTTACAGTATTTTAGAGATTGAAAGAATGCAAATTATCCGGGGTAATAGCATGGGGCCGGCCCAGTAGTGCTGTGGTTAGCATTGTTGTCTTCCAGTAAGTAGGTTCTGGGCTTTTCTGCATTGAGTTTGCATGGTCTCCCTACCTGCATGGGTTTTCTCCGGCTGCTTTGGTTTTTTCTCACAGTCCAAAGACATATAGGTTAGTTTAAATGGCAACTCTAAATTGTTGTCAATATAGGTGTGAAGGGTTGCCCTGTGATTGACTGGCAACCTGTTTTGGATTCTCTGACCCTCTAAAAGGATAAACTAATGAATGGGTAATGGGAAGTGATGGGCTGTTTCTGCATTTAAAGGAAAGCTTTTCCTTATTGTTTTGTGGGGGAAAGCTCTGCACTGAACACATAATGTTACAGCAAAACAGTGATTCATTTGTCAGTGTCCCTTCCTGAAGTGCCCCGTTGAAGCTCATAATCTTACTGTGTGAGCAGCTCCAGTAGCTCAGTGTTGTCTGCTGTCTGTGCCAGCTGCAGCGGTGTGACTCCATCTTCGTTTGGCAGACTGACAGCCATCAGACCCCCTGGCTGACAAAGAAGCAGCTCTGCCAGCCGATACAGACCCCATCGCACGGCCAGGTGTAAGGGAGACTCCCCGAGACTGTGCTCTGGAGATGAGGGAAGAAATATAATAACAACATGAAAAACTTAAGTCTGCAGAGATAACACTATGCAGTTGGATCTAAAACAGCTGCTGAATGGAAGAGGGAAGTGAGATTAAATAAGCCAGCATCGTGACAAAAATAGGAGGAAACTAATGTGTCAAGAATCTCGTCTTGATAACCACCTCCCTGTGATAATTAACCTACATGTCAATGATTGATTTTTACTCTTGCACATCACTGGATCCCTCTGTTCCACTGACCCATTTTAAGACATAAACGCTCTTCAACAAAGTGGTGACAGATTCTTATTTGTGTGGCTGCCACTCAATGCAGTTCAGCAATCTGTATCCAAGTACCTGGCCTGTGTCTGTTACATGCAAGCAACTGGTAAGCTTAGATATGTACTGTTGAATTTTTAAAAATGCAGCATTCACTATAATCTTAAAATACATCTCTGAACATTTCTTCAGGATGAACGTAATATTATTAAAAGGTAAAAAAGTCAGTGCATCTCAGCCTGATCAAAGGAAAGTCCCACTGGATGGATGAAATAATATAAGCACCTTACAGTGCTCTACAATACAAGCTCTGTAGACTATATCAGTTTTGTGAAGGTTACAATTTTGTTTTTGTTTTGACTGTTAATCAAATATCTCGTTAAGTGTATTTTAGTGAAACCACTGCTTCTGTCTCAGTTTTAGTTGGGTTTGGGATAGGTCATCAAGATCATTGTAACTTTCACTGGTAATCTTGCAGAATTTGTGACTGCAATTCAGATTTACGACAATAAGTAATTATAAAGGTAACTGCAGAAATGAGTCACATTAACTTGAATAACAATAAGTAGTGTCTGACAGCTTTTATAAAGGCCGGACAGTCACCATTTTCCTAACAGAGTTTTCAAGGCAACATGAGCAAACTTACAGAGGTATAAAAGAGGCCAGACATGCTGTCTGAATTGATTATGCATCAGTCACTAACACTGCAAAAATGTGTAAAGAGGAAAAGAGTCAAAACTCCCTGTGAGTCACAGGGAAAATTCACAAAGAGAAACACTGACTGAAGGACTTTTAATGGGATATTGCTTAGCAACACCACAAACTACAGGCTCAGAAAATCATTCATCACAATCAATATTTCCTGCAGGGGCTATTTTACTGCAAAGTATGCCATTTTACACATTGGGATTGATGTTGGATCTTTACAATAAAAACTACCTGAAAATTACTTTATTTATTTAAGATTTATATTTCGGTCCTGTTTGCCTTTGTATTATAGTCGGCACTAGAATGTGTTAGAAAACATAAGGAGGACAGGCGTTTTTCACCCACATACTGTAGGGCAATCTATGAATCAAGACTGGTGCAATAAACACTTAAATGTACCTTTATAAAAGAGATTAACCCATAATTACTTTACAGATCTAAAGGCTCCACTTCGGTTCTTCTGTTTATGTCCAATGATAATTTTTATCCAAAACCCATCAGGGCGCAGTTAACACTTTTGCCAGCTGTATGTCAACATTTTTGATGCTCAATTTTTCAGAGCTGCATTACTCCAGAGAGAACATAATAATTCCAAGCATAGGTGCAGTTTGCAGATTTTGTGACATCAGGATTTCAGTTTTTCCAGTGCCTTTAAAAATGCAGAATGCACTATTAGCAAATGTTACAACCAAAGGAAAGTAAGGGATTCACATGCAGCATTGCCAATACAGTGATGTCATGAGCAGTGTTATCAAATTAACTGTAGACATTTAGAGGGAGACGTTGCGATGAAACAGACTGCCATAACTATATTAACGCTAAATCTAGTTTGTTATTTATGTAGGTGGCCCCTCACAAACACTCAGATCATACAAACAGATGGTGGCATCTAGTAAACATGGTGGTCAGCACACACACAAGCCACACACACACACACACACATAAACACACTTGCCTTCAGATTTATTGAGCTCTGCCTAGAGCTACTTCCAGATGGAAATGCTCTATTAACCACATTACATGCTGCTTAATTGGCGTTGATGAATTCAAAGCCAACAGAAGCACACATGTGACCATGTTCACTTCCGATTTCAGCCCAGTGAGCCCGGAAAATGGGAATGATGGCAGAGAAGAAGGTGGGTGGAGAGGAGCGAGTTAAGGTTGCTGAGAAATGAGGTGATGACGATACCTGCCAACTGCATCTCTGCTCACTAACTGCCCTCAAACATTTTTGTTCATAAATATAGTAAATCCCACTTTAGACCAAACAGTGTCTTTCAACCATCTTCTCCTAATAAAAGCATTCCTTGACCTTCTTCATCTGTCAATTTGCACCACAAAGTTTCATTTATTTATCTACACTTCACAAAATTATAAACGCAACACTTGTTTTTGCCCCCTTTCATCATGAGCTGTACAGTGAAAACCGAGAGTCATCTGTGAAGAGAGCACCTCTCCACAGTGCCAGATGCCATCAAATGTGAGCATTTGCCAACTCAAGTCGGTTACGACGACAAACTGCAGTCAGGTCGAAACCCTGAAGAGGACGACGAGCATGCAGATGAGCTTCCCTGAGACAGTTCCTGACAGTATGTGCAGAAATTCTTTGGTTTTGTAAACCGATTGTTGGAGCAGCTGTCCAGGTGGCTGGTCTCAGACGACCTTGGAGGTGAAGATGCTGGATGTGGTCCCTTGGCAAAAGTGCTCACTAACACCGATTTTGACAGATTTGTGAACAATATTTGAGAGAAATAGGCCTTTTGTGTACATAGAGAAAGTCATAGATCTTTGAGTTCAGCTCATGATGAATGGGGGCAAAAGCGTTTATAATTTTGTTCAGTGTATTATCCATCTCATATGTACAGTTTTTTGCAGACTTTGTTATACAATAAAACAACAAACACAAGGTGCTTTTGATCAACATATTTGAGCAGGAATGCCAGTTCAGCAAGATAAGATAATCCTGCTCTCACCATCTCCACTGTGGTTCCCGAGTACATTCCAGTTTTGGGGGATATCCAGGTTGGACATGGCCAGGGCCACGCGGCGATCCATAGCCCTGCGAGAGCTCTCCTGGCCCAGGTTGAAGAGGCTGCTTAGCTCCTTGTGATCCGTGGAGTTTAGACAATGTCCGTGGATTACCAGGTGCTCTGCCAGGTCCTGAGAATGAAGCAGTCATGAATAAGATACAATCTGTGATAACTGGTGTGTAATGCAAATAAAAACAGCAATGTCAAAACAGCTATGCAACTGTCCTGATGGTTTTACTTGTTTTTGATGCAAAACATGTTTGGAGAATTTTACGACTTGAGATGAGCGACACACTCCACACTAAAAATGTAAAAATGTTTCAACAACAATTTCATCCTTTTAGCAAACGCCTTTTAACTTAATATTACACTCTACAGTCGGGGTAAGATGGATTTTTTTCCCTACAGCATGAAAAATCTGTGAACAAGAATCTGTGTACGAGCAGGTCGTTTTTACCACATTTTTACCTATGTGCACTGTAAAGGATCTTTTTTGTTTCTTCCTTACCTGAGCATCATCTTGGACATACTCCAATGAAGCTCCGCCTACCCAGGTGAGGGGTGTGGTTTCAGAGCACAGGTAGGCCTGGACAGACACCATCTCAGCCAGATTATGTCCTAAAGAGGGACACAATGCAGCAAATGCCAGACTTTACTCCATACAGAGTTATATCTCTTTATATTAATATGAGCTGCAATATGCAGTGTGAGACCCACAAAGCCTTCTTTCTTTCTTATTATCTTCCTGAATGCTGATAAAAGGCACTGCCTGCAACACGTTTCAAGTCTGCTTCAAACTGTATTAAAATCCACTGAAATTGATGGCCACCAGGCGTAACAAAATCTATCTAAAAATATTCATAATCTGTGATAAATGAATGAAAATAATTTAAAATATATAGTATATTGGTAACAAGACCACCAGTCCTTAAAACACCTATATTTCAGCACAGAGCTTAAATGCCATAAAAAATTACCTGAAAATGTTCTCAGATTTTCATTTTATCATTTCATAACTTATAAAGGTGGATATTTCATTTTTGCAATAGAGAAGGAGACCTGATTTTAATATTCTAGCTACAGTGCTCAAGCCTGCAGGACTGCCGGTTGTCTGTGTCAACCTACACAGAGGCTCAGTAATGTTGACATATTGTTTATGGAACTGTTTCCCTCTAGAGAGAAGCTGATAAGATTCTGTGCCTTTCCAGACCGGAAGACACACTGTGTGTGTGTGTGTGTGTGTGTGTGTGTGTGTGTGTGTGTGTGTGTGTGTGTGTGTGTGTGTGTGTGTGTGTGTGTGTGTGTGTGTGTAGATTAAAATAGTGATACGCTGTCCCTGAGTATATCACATACAGGAGTGGAAAATCTGGGATTGTCAGGATGTGCAGTTTAATGTCTGAACATGGGTTTGATAAATAAATTCTCCCCTTTTAATTTAAAACATGAGAATGCACCCCAAAATGTATACAAACATACAAACAATAACACAGTAATACAGTACACATCATAAAGACATACACATGCACATACCAGGCACTATAAAGCAGAGCATGACATCACTGTGAGCCCTGGTGACATGGACCAGTGAGGATCCTTCCAAAACAACATAGACCTCTGCACCCTCTGGCAGCGAGTCTAAACCCTCCAGCAATGCAAATACCTTCGCCTGGCCCTGAGATAAAGAAAGGTGAGAGAGGAAATAAAGAAGAATGATGCTGGAGAGCAAACAATATTTCTGTTCCTAAAGATACTGGATCATTTTAGAGTTAAGACTCTATTCTAATGCAGTCTTCTACATTTCAGTGAAGTACACCAAATCCCCTGACAGCATTCCTCTAGAGCATAAAATAAAGCATTCCCCCCTCAATAAAAACAGGAATGTCTTAGTCTCTACTCCAAAGACCTGCCCTGATCCCAACAGGTCAGAACACTTTAGATTTCTGATCTGAGGCAGAAGAAGGTGAACTACACAAGCACAGTTACACATTGGCATCCTTTTAAAAATGTTGTGCATATCAGATGTGGGTGTGACATTATGTTGTATATCAGCGTCACCAGACTGTAAATCCTCACTTAAGATGGCATGGCTGAGCTGTTCATTGATTTATCTAGGGCTGGGTATCGTTAAAAATGTTTTCATACTAGAGCTGATGCACTACCTGAGTTTGGTCACGAGTTCCAAAATTATTCTCTTTTTGTTTTGAAAAAGAGGAGAGCATTCTCAAATGTAGTTGTACACAGTCTTTGCCTAAATAAAATGGTCTAAAGTATTGAGGTTAGACACCCAACCACAGACACAACATGCAGAAAAGTTTATTTAGAGAGCCACTGAGCTATTAACAACTACAGAACATGCACCCATCAGTGTTAGGATACTGGAGCTTTGAAGAAAACCCACCTTAAAATATTTAAAGCAGTATGAATTGTTTTTTGTGCACTTGGAGACAGCAGGACCAGTTACTCATACAACACAGACATCCCATTTTGCCATCTTTTAAAGTGGATTTGGCAAACAGTTGCCTAATTACACATCCAGAAAACACGAAGCAACTCATGCATTTATTTGGAGTCATGTTTCCAGCCACCTGAGGAATGGAAGTCCAATATTCACTTTTTAGCTCTGTTTTTGGTCTCCACCCACACCTGAGGGAAATATCTGGCTCTTCAGCAGCTAAATTCTCCATCGTGTTCACCAGCTGGTTGTTATCTTTCCCGGTCTACTGTTTGGTGCTAGGAAGGTAACATAAAATCAGAGCTTTTTTTTTGGTTGAAAACAATGGGTTGATGAAAGTGGTGGGGCTCGCTCGACCCAAACTACAAGCTGTAAAACCAAATCACTGAGCTAACACAGGCTAAAAAGCTTTGGGGAGCTGAGGAGAACTGCAGTGTTGGGTAATAATTATCTATGGTTTTCACGGGTATCACTTTGAGCGACTCCTTTCACACTACACAAAGTCATTTAACTGAATTTAATGTTAATAGAAAGATACTGATGATTCTTTACTGTGGATAAATGGCTGCAGTATTTAAACTGCATGTGACTGTAACTGAGTTTCATATATTTTACAATTTAAACATAAAGATTAAACATGCGCTTTCAGTTTCAGTCTCTTGGAGCCAACGCTTTCCACAAACATCAAACAGTGGCAGGGGAAGAAATCTATTGTAGAAGATATCAATTTGTCCACCTCAGTGGCCTCAATAGACCAGACAAGAATGGAGCCACAAGGCACACTGTGTGTGTTATTCTTGGAAACAAACTGACTGAGGCAGGAGTAGAGGAGACAGGTTGAATAAAAGAAGGGTACAGCAAATAAATGTAAATTATATTTCCTAATTTAAGATTCCTGTTGGTCGGATGGTATAAGAATGAGGGTATTAAGTAGTATCTCTCTTTGTCTTAGCAAGCCATCTATTTGCCTTGGATCAACCTCAACAGCTGACCTGATTTCTCACGCTATAAAATGGAGAGGCTTTTCTCTTTACCTCTCTTGCTGTCTCAGAAAGAGACACTGTGAGTAATCCTGGCTCCGTGTCTCACCATCTCACCTAATCCTACCTTCAGGATCCCTTATCCATTTCTTTATCCCAAGTCGTCGGATCTTTGAGAGATTGAACATCAGGTTTACCACCAATTTTAGAATGTATATATACCCTCATTAAGACAGATGTTGATGTGATTAACCAGGTTGACCATTAATGATGTTGGGGCCACCATAGTCAACAGTGGGGACTACTGGAGGCAGAGGAAAGATGGATAGGAACTGACTTTGTAAGCAAAAACAGTTGATGATGCATTAAGTGATAGGATGTGTGCCAGTCTAGCAATATGACACTTTGCTTTGCCTTCCAGACTTTGAACAGAAGCCAAAAAACTCTCAGGTGGATGTGTGCACATGTATTCAGCGGATGAAGCCTACTGACTTTTAGTGATCTCCTGAGTTTTCCTTTAGAAATGCTGACATTTTTAATGTATCAATAACTATGGATGGCCATGCATTCTGGCATAGATTTCCATGGTGCACAGAGTTACGTGCAAAAACATCTTAGCACGCAGTTCGCATTTTGCTCCAAGCCTCACAGAGTAAAACTGAGTTGTTGCATAAATGTATTGCTTAATTCATTTGTGAACCTCTATAGAAAGCAAGCCCAGTATCTGAGAAGTAGGTGCTTCATTGATTTCAAGATGGCATGTCCACATTACAACATTTGGTAACCTTTACGTAAAATGAAAACGGCTGACAAATCCACTCAAAGGTTTAACACGACCAGAGACAACATCACAAATCAAACTGATAGCAAATTGGAAAGTTCCTTTCCAACTCTGACTAATTAAAACACAAATAAAAAAACATCACTGTGAATGAATCACAGAGTTACTGATTTGCAAGTTATACACAAAAATGCCAGGCTGCTGTTGTCACTGCTGTGCTGATGAATAAGGTTATTTTTTTCCTGAAAAACTATGATTCAATGCTAATGCAATCCAACAGCAAAACCAGACATGTTTCATTCAAAGACCAAAGTCCCTGTTTGATCAAAGTCGAAAACATCCGTCCCCTGTCATCATGATGTCCTCGTCCACCCTTATGCCAAATCTGAAGTCTCTTTTTCTTTTTTTCAATTGCACATACATAGTGAACTTTATGAAATAACTTTATGAAATTACATGTAATGTGTTGACGTGTGAACCAAAAACAAGGCTATCCTTTGCAAGCATTTTTATTAAGCATAAGGGTTTGGTCATGAGAACAAACTTTGAGACTTTCAGTTATTATAAATGAAGCTGCTGATCTTTTACTGCATTCCAAACTCAATTTGCAGACATTTTCCAGAGGGATAAGTAACTCTTGAGAGTAATTGAAGATGCTGGTCTCAAACTTGACTTGCAAACTGGAGCACATACTCACATACAGAGGCACTTTTCTCCTGCTCAGCTCCATCTGCACAGAAACTGCAGGCAAGGACAGACATTAAACAGACATTTGAGAGCCACAAATGAAAACTCGCACTCAGCCATGTGACTCCGCATTACTTCTTTGGTTATATGGTTATTCTGCCTGATCCTCTGATCCTGAAGAGATTATCAAACCATATCCGTGCCAAGCAGAGGGTTTCTGATGAGAGAGGATCATCTTTTGATCACAAGTAAGAGAATAATGATTTTAATGATGATACTTTCTACCTTGGTGCGTACAGTGGCAGAATACCAAATATGCCCACATCCAAACACACAGGCAGTGTGTAGTCTACTCCTTCATGTGTGTTTGTGTGTGTTAAAGTAGGAAATCTACTGCATTTCAGTGCTGCAGGGTTCAAGTCTGTACTTTGTCACATCCAAAAGTGGAACCAACAGCAAGATCTTAACATAACCATTTTTCAAGAAATTGTTTCCTGTACAATCACATTTTGCATTGACATTTATAATGATATATCTATATTAGACCAAATATTACTGAGCAAAGGCAAAGCATCCACAAACCGAGAGGACAGGACTTTGTGCAATTTTGGAAGTGAGCTAGCTGTTTGACACAATTTAATTATTTAATGGCACTATAGTGAACATTATTAAATTTCACATCACAACAATATCGCTCTTATTGCTTTCAAATTAATTTAACTCATAGGTTAATGTTGACCTATTTAGCTGCAAAATATGAGGCTCTATTTGGGGCTACTTTTCAGGGTTGACATATTAGCAAACTGTCATATCACAGGAAACAAACCACGTTGAAAAAAAGTCAAAAGCTAGTAAAAAAGGGGTGAATATAACATATTGACGTACTTACCTTCAAAGGAGCTCAAACTCTGGCAGAAGAAACCTGATACTGCGCTTAAATTTAGCAAAAGAAAACACCACCTAACTCGGATTCATTCTCATTTTGCTAACTGCTCATTGAAGTGTTGCTGTTAGAGCCACAAGTTCAGAGATGGCGTTGAGCCGGTGCAGCAGCTGTTTCCAGTCTGAGCTGCAGCGTCCACTGACACAGCATCCTCCTCTCTGTCAGCGTTGATGCTTTCTGTCTTCCGTCTGGTCTAGACAAATGCAAATTCCCCCATATGTGTCAAAGTGAAGCGTTTCTTTGAGGTTACAGCGACCCCTAATGGGAGGCGATAAAACAGTCCACGGAAAAGGGTAATAATAATAATAATACCATGTTGAAATCTGTATCATCAGTGTAAATGTAACACAGACAGAGTAAAGGCAATTTAACACAATTATGATCAGTCAGTTTTCATATTACAAAGATTTATTTTCATCTGCTTATAAAACATTTGTCAATGCCAAATATTATGAACACACAAAGCAGACATTCACAGAGAAATCATTCAAACACAAGCGTACACACACGAAAGTGTAATTATAAGACTTCCAATAAAAGCAACACTTTACATTCACACATTAGGAGATTCTTCATACAGTAGATGCATGTTCTCCTTGTTGCCTGTTGTGTTTTCAGTCACGCTCAGTCAAAACACCAGAGTGAGACCACAAGTTTGTTAGCCTCTGAAAACCTGTACCAAAATGCTTCTGTTTGGTCATTAGTCTATGACATGCAGCCTGTCATGTTGGGAGATTTGTGTCTGATGTTTCAAAAAGAGGTTTCAGAGTTGTAAAGGCACTCTAACCAAGTCTAAAGCAGTTCCCCCCCCTTCAAGCCTCAGGTGGCCTGAAGCTGTGGTCTTGAGGTATTTGCTTCTCCCTGGGCCAGGCCGTTGGACCTGCTGATGCCCGGGGAAGGTACCTCCTTCCTAGGGAGGGAGGAGGCGAACATTGTGTCCAACATTCCCAGCACCTCCAGAAGGTCCTGCTGGTAGTCGATCTCTCTCTCCAGCAGCTCCTGCAGACGCAGCAGCTGTCGGTCCACGACTGGCGACTGGCCGATTACTGGCCTATAGATGTCGAGGATCATCTCAGCCGCTGTTACGAGGACAGGAGCGAACCTGGGGTCAACCAAGTTCCTGGAGAAAAAACAGAAACAAGTTTAAGTATTCATGTTGCAAAATATTTCTGCACAATTTGACATGCACCTGCAAGATACCAAATTCATTGCATCCAATAACATTTTTTGGTAAAATCTACTTGAGTAATGATGTTTTGTCTGGATCTTACCCTATGAGGAAGTTGAGCAACTGAGAAAGTCCCTGTTCATCCCTTCCTGCCAGAGCGTTCTTCAATGTTCCTCTTCGATCCAGCTCCTTTATAACAGCAACTGTGATCTCTGGCTTTCTCAGTCTTGTCCATGTCTATGATTAAAAATAAAATATGTTTGTGCATACAGGATATCCATTTCACTTTGTACAACTCAGCGACAGGAAAGTAGCATGTGTCACGGCTTTATATTGCAAATTGAAAAAGAAAGATAACTTTAATTAAAACAACAAGGAACCTCAAGAAAATGATAAACTGATTTAACCTTGTTGCTAAAGTTATAAATTCATGAAAGGTGTACCTCCAGGGCTGTGTCCAAAGCCTTCGATACATTAAATTTCTTGAGCTGCTTGTCATATTTGGCCAAATGTTGTTTCACCGGCTTACTGACAAGATAATCATCCTGGAAAATGATGGAGAACCAAGACAATAATTAACAGTATTTTGTAGAAATCAATAAGTCAGTGTGTCTCTTGGGGGAATAACCACAGACCACATCATGTCATCATCATGCTACTGCATGTTACTAAATGTAAACGTACCTGTTTAGGGACGTAGTTCTTCCCCTTCACAAAAACACGATATGATGGCCGTCGCCTCTGTTGGCCAGAGATTTCCTTCGACTCTTCAAGGCTTTTCCTGTGTTTGATACTCAGAATACCGTTGGTCATACCCACAACAATGGACTCATCATCCGGCTGAAGAGAAAGAAGTATTCTTAGTTTTATTGTCAATAACTGTCAAATCTCTCTGAGGAGCAGTGAGCAGGCCAGAAAATCCATTTAATGATGTGCTATACTTGATGTAACAATATAGTATATTATCATCAATATGATATAAAACACAGTGCCTATTATAGACCATGGCTTTAGCTGGCATGCTCCTAAGAAAACTAAAATTGTGGTGATGATCAAAAGGGAATATCCAAAAGCACTGAAAGGCCAAAGTAAAAAATGCCTTGTCAGCTCACTCTGAGGTTGCAGTGTTCCAGAAACCCTACACCTCCTTGCCAACACCACGAGGAGAGGATGTACTGTTTCACCTCCTTTCAATTTAAATATCTGGCAAAAATAGATATTTCTGCTGGCTGCGGCATTACTTTACAGTCTCCGAGCTGGTCTCTCAAATCACAGCGCCCTCTGAGGCTGAACCTCAGATACAAGCAAATTTCAACCCTCTATACGGAGTTATTTTTGAAATTTTAATTATCATGTTTATAGTCGGCCAAATAAAGTGTTTCCCATTTGGGTTACTTTAATCAACTAGTAATTGCTTCACTTATCTGAAAACAACTTTATACACTTAATTCATCTGCACACATGAAAAACTAATAATAAAACATGAATGAAGTGAATGTAATTTCTTACAGCCAAGGCCAGACTGAGGATGGACGCAGCATAGTCAAAGTTGTGGACCACTTTATAGTTTGCCGTGTTGTACACCTTTACATGCCTGTAGGACAAACAGAGGCTATGCATTAAATCGGATTCATATAAAAAATATAAGTATGCAACAGTCAGGCTAGAATAAATGGCCTCTGACTTCCACTGTTAAGAACATTTTTTCTTTGCCACTAGTGGATATACACTCATCCCCCGTACCTGTCCAGAGAAGCAGACAGCAGTCTCTGTCCGTTGCTGCTGAGACACAAACTGGTGACAGTTTTGTGATGGTTCTTCAGTGACACCAGAGGCTGGCCTCCTTTTAGCAGATCCCACACTTTCACATAGCGCCCCCCTAAAGAGAGTGAGAGAGATTGACTTTTAATGCCCGGGATAAACATCAGTAAATATATAGTATTTGTGTACGAATGCAGTCATTTGCAGGGAGGCAATTGTGTAGGAAAAACTATTTTAGGTTGTCACAACCAACCATATAATGGAGTTAAATGGGTTTGTTCCCCGTTTGTCACAGCCCAGCCCATCCAAATTTGGAACATTTCATACAGTTTTTTGTTATGTCCTGCACAACAAACCGTTCCAACCTGAGGAAACCCCATTAAATTCAAATACATCATTTTACGCTGTTAACAGAATTTGTGTTCGGTCTGACAACAAGTTGCCACATTTTCTGGATGCGCCAACTGAGTACAATGATTATACCGCTGGCTACCTGCTGAGACAAGGAGGCCCTCAGAAGGATAGAGAAGGAGACTCTCCACTGGCTGGCCATGCTCCATGGTCATCACACTCTTATCCACTCTGGCATCAAACAGTTTCAGTGTGTGGTCGTAAGATCCTGGGATAAACAACATAAATTGATAGTCACACACAAAGAAAGACCAAACTCGTACATCCTGCATCATTTGTGACTGTGATTATTATTTTTTTCTGCAATTAAGTGTCTGCCTGAGCTGTTTATTTGAACACACTCATTCCCACCACAGTACTGACTTTGCATATTAATTATTCAATTATACTAGGTATGTAAGTGACGTTTTATAAAAGTAGACGGTTGTTGTTACTTTATTTTGATTTGTTTCCTTTCAAGCACCTTGTTTTTAGGTTCTGCAGCATATAGTGCAGAAAACATGATGCTAGTATACCATAAACCTGGTGGGGAAGACCAGTCAAAGTCCAAATGTTGGTAGATTTTGGCTGTTACATCGGTTTGATCTAAAAGCCAGTGTGTTTTCTCTCTCTCTCTAATTATAATACTGAGATACACTAAACACTGATGCTAATGGACCAATGTTAATTTCCTGTCCTCCCATTCACTTTTCAGCACTATTTAAAATTTATTTTTTCTTCCATCTCACCAGTAATGAAGAGATCTCTGTTGAGTTTGCTCGTCACACCACAACGAATGTAATCTGTGTGTTCTTGGTAGGTGTTGAGCTCAGTGGCATTTGGGATGTCCCAAAGTCGACAGGTGTAGTCGTCTGACGCTGTGAGGATCTGGTAACGGTCTGAGGTGAAGTCTGTTATGTGTACTGCCCTGAGCAGAGAAAAATTAAACCATAGACAAAATCTCATCAGTACACTTTAAGGCCTGGGCCTTTATAGGTCAGTGAGAGAGTTTACAGGTTGCCAGAATTCTTGAGATCATCATGAAATGTAGTTGATGGATCACTCAACAATTAAACAATTCCTTTAATGCAAGAACTCCAGAATAAACAATCAATACTAGCCAAAAGCCTTGTCCGCCCCTCGACAGGATGGCAACTTAGAACTATCGTGAATAGTCTGAAATGTATTTTTGGCTTTGGTAACAAAAAAACAATATTGTACATGCTAATACCAACATATGCAGACTTTTTAAACTGTCAGGGACTAGCTCTACTATTAACAGCATGTCAACAAAATTTTCACATTATTGCTATATGCAAATATAGTATAAATCTACATGGTTTCCCCTTGTATGCTCTAAGGCATAAAATAAAGGGATTATTCGTCCATTCCTTCAATCATTCTGAAATGATGAGAGCAACAACAGTGGGAACATCTATTAAAAGACACATTTACACACACAAATATTAAGAACTACTCTGCAAAACTCAAAGGCTGGTCAGCAACACTGCCCTACAGTTCTGGCCAGAAGCGTTGACATTCCACACATTTCCCCATAACAAGTATTTCACCTAACGTTGAACATAGCCTCTGCAGGGACTCGGTCTTCAGGCCAGGGCAGCCCAACTAAAACACTAGAAGACAGTGACACGTGAGATACCTACTTTGTGTGCCCTTTGAACATCCTAAGTGCCACCTTGCCGCTGACATCAAACAGCCGGACCACAGAGTCCTCACATCCTGCCACGAGAAGCTGGCCGTCTGACCTGAACCTGCCACAGTATGCAGTGTCCTTAAACCGTGTGAATGTCTTTACAGGCTCCTGGGAGAATGGCCCATAAATGTGGATCTGTAGAGAGAGTTAAAATGACAAGAAATCTCTCAACTGTTGCACACAGGTGAACACTTATGGTTTTGAATAAACACAAAAGAGAAGCCAACATACTCTTGTGAATGCTGTCACAGCAAAGTTATGTGGAGCCACTGGGGAGAAGTCTATATTTGTGATTGCTCCAAATTCTTTTATCTGGACCGGAGCCTGTGAGAAGACAACCAAAGATTGAGAAACATAATTAAGGATGCACTTTTCAGTGTTCAATTTTCCAGTAATATTAAGACAGTAGAAGACTCACCTTGTAGTTTTTCCAGTACAGTGTGTCTTGTGTGACTTTCTCTCCAAGTTTAGGATAGAATTGGATTTTTGTAGGTTTAAACGAAGCCATTTCCTTGCTGATCCAAAAATACTCTGTCTGGTAAGATACAAACAAATGTAAAACATGGATGGGTTGTACGAGAGTGGCACCTGGGCTTGCTAACCTTAAACCCAACTTAAATGCTGGTGGGTATTTTTTTACAAACTCATGCTGTGCAACAATGTTCAAACCCACAGAAATGTATTTTCAGTTTTAGTGGAAATTCAAAAATGTACAAAGATACCAAATATGTTAGGGGGAATCTGGTGTGAGGTGTATAAAATAATGCACAATACATTCATAATATTTAATTTGATAGATTGGTACAACGGTAAAAACACAGAGTCCGAGAGTATATTGATAATCTCACTCAATGTAAGCTTAAGGAGCAGGAGCAAACATACACAGAGTATTGGTACCGTCAGACAGGGTGGAATAAAGTGTTTTTTACAACCTTCAAGCTGAAATAAACGTGGTAACCCGGATGGTAAATGGTTAATAGCTTATGCACTATTCTCTCCTGATCCACAAGAACACAATCAGCAAAAATAAGACATCAAATTCAACAAAATGGAATGAACGGGAAGAGTTCATATTGAATTTAATTTTTTACCAAACAGTATCACAACCCACCAAACTATGCTAGAAGGCTAAGCTAACGAGTTTACTATTTCAAGACAGTTGATTTCTTCACTGAGGTTTATGACTTAAGATGCAAATAAAACATGTCTACAGACAACCTTTTTATTAAAAGCTAAAACTACACGTTATGTTACTAGTTTTAAAACAAAACCAGCGTATTAGACAGATACCTGAGCCAACGTGTTCAGTATTTAGCATACTACGCTTTCGCCGGCTAGCATTTTCTACTAAAATGCATTCTAATGATTCTCACCTTAAAAGAAATCGTCCAGAAGTGCAGACTTATTTTTGTTTTCAAATATGGAGTGTATAAATTAGAAGATACTGATATTGGTTGTCCAAGTAAACCAAATATTTCTCATTTTAAAGCGTTATCACGTTGCCTCTCGGTGCACCAGAGGACGCCATGATTACAAACGTGACTACATCCGTTAGGAGTAGCACATCGGATCTTTACCTTAACCTGAAAAGCTTTTGTTTTTTAATTTAATATTTTAAATGGCACTGATGGTGGACTTAGTATTTTACTTTTTTTATATACCCGCATATTAATTATCTTAATTCATTGTACTATTTCAAATTAAACACACTGTCTTTTCGGTGAAATCTGACTGGAATCTTGTACTAATTTGACCAATTTCTGCTTAATAAAGTTAAGTGGTTGTTAAAATTACTACTACCATAAAAATAAAAATGATCTTCTTTTCAAAAGACTTCACCAACATTACTTTTAGTATAAGCAGTTTATTTGGGGGGAATCATATCTGCGGCTAAAAAAATCTAACACTACATATTTAACAACAGAAAATACTATAAATTAAGATTTAAATCACGTTAAATTATGAACATACATTTGAAAAACTGCGGGCACATCCGGCAAGTTATCGATCTGATCACGTCACTTCCGGCCTTCACTCCTTTCTCCGATCCTCTATCGACTGTGTGACCCGCGTGTTTACACACTCCCAGGTCGGTTCACGTCTATGTAGTCTTTTAAGCGGTCTCAGTGTCGTGTCGTTTTTACTTTATAAAGAAGGAACAGTCCCCTGTGTCACATTACACGTTAAGGTGCGAGGAAAAGGTAAATTATACTTGAATGCTAGCATCATTTTGAAGAGGCCTAAGATAACGTTAGCTGTTTAGCTTGGCTTGCTAACTAGCCGGCCATTTAGTTAACGTTATCAGAAGTTAAAAAACAAACAAGCTTCCTAGTCTCGGAGGCTAAAAGATAAAGCATGAGTCTATGTCACATCTTCTCGTTAGTGCACACTAGGAACAGTTAACTAATAAAGTTTATAGCTAACTGATTTCTCTTAGCTTTGGAGGACGTTGCGAGCTTAAGTTGGGCACAAACTTTAGCTGACCACCTCTGATTCATGAAGAACTTGAGTCGAGACTAAAAAGCGTGCAGCTAAATTTGGCCTTCTGGCAGTTGTGCATTCTTGTTAGTTTGCTTTGCCAAAAGGTTAAACGACTGGGGGATTTTGGGGAGTTTTAGATTGTGCACTTCGTTGTAATTACACACACCTTAGTTTCCAGTGAACTGCTGAAATCACCCATTAGGCATATTTATCTATCACTTATTCTAATTTCAAGATCAAACTATTAGTGTGCATCTGGATGAAAAAGCCCGAAACTAAATGTCACATTAGTGTTAGGATTGCTTTAGTGGAATGACTATTGGTGTTTTCAAATGTCCACCAGTTCTGTGTCAAGTGAGGGTTAGTTTTTTCCAAATAACTGAAATTTGTGATGAAATATTAAACTTGTTGAAATGTATGTGCTATTTCTTGTGTCAGATGAAGGAGTCAATAATGAACCAGGAGAAGCTCGCCAAACTGCAGGAGCAGGTCCGCATAGGCGGCAAGGTGAGTTAGAGAACATGTTGGCAAAGGACTGAAAGAAAATGTTTTTCTGTGGGTCATGCGGTTGGTCTATGGGTTCTATATTATATCTCAATGTTGTGCTCTCTAGGGGTCAGCCCGCCGGAAGAAGAAGGTGGTGCACAGAACAGCTACAGCAGATGACAAGAAACTGCAGTTCTCCCTTAAGAAACTTGGAGTCAACAACATCTCTGGCATTGAGGAGGTACAGCAAATCCTTTCTGAAATGCACAACTTGTAGATGGACAGGCGTTCTTCTTGACATTGATGCTGTTAGTCAGGGTTCTATATTTAATAATAAAGTAATAAATATAATGTGATACATGAAGTCACATTTGACAAAAAATAGGACTGGAAAAATCTGAATGTCATCAGATTACAACCCTTAATTGCTGTGTTTTAGTGCTGAAACAATTAGCAATGAAAAGATGGCCAAAAAAGTATGTTATGACATTTCAGTTTGTCATCTTGGTTCATTTAAAGGTATAATATGTAACATTTCTGCATTAAATGTCCAAAAACAACTGGACCTATATATTTTGTTGAGTTTTGTACTTACCAGAGATGCTCACAAGTCTTTGAGCTAGAGTCCAAGTCAAGTCTCAAGTCTCTTATGGTTATAATTAATGTTGTATCACCTGCTGTGTTCAATCCTGGCTGCTTATACAACTGCAAAGCTATAAGGAATTCTGTAACTGTAACCTGTTTTTCACTTACAGGCCACAACCATGTAATGTGCAATGCAATTAATGACAGCTAATTAACTACTGTGAGTCAACACACCTTGCAGACTCTCAAACTCAGTGTAACGTTAACTAAATAAAACTAACGTTACATGATCAACAATTAACCTATAACCGGTTTTACTTACAGAGCACAACCATGTAGCCTAAAGTGCAATTTATACTTCTGAGTCAAATCAACTGTGTAGCCCCCTACCTTAAGCCGTCTCCTAGGGCGCAGCCTGACGTGCACCTCCTCAAAAATGTAACTACATGTCGAGTCAACGCGGACCGTAAGCTCTGTGATTGGTCGGCTGGGTAGCCTCGCAATGCCTCCAAGCCAACAGGAAGTGCCCGTGCTTTGAAGTAACTTTTACTAGCTGCCAAAACAGCGGCTGTAACACGGTAGATCAATATATTTGACCGTCACAACCTGAGCGAAATGACTCGTTTCATTATCAGAATGTGATCCATTCGGTTGATAACATTTGAAAAGGCTACACCAGCCGCACGTTTACAATTGTACCCCCATTAACGTTAGTGGAGAGCTAAACCGGAAATTACCCCGCTCTTCCGGCAAAAGTCAACACAGTGGAACGCTGTAGCGCTACTGCCGACTAGCGTTTGGGGGGTGTAATTGCAGATTGACGCACAAGTTTAAATGGCTACGTGCGTAGCGGCGTAGCTACGCATGTAGACCCTACGCAGGAGTATGAATAAAGCTTAATGCGTCTACAACTAATCACAGCTTATAAACTACTGTCAGTCAACACATACCCCAGACTCTCAAACGTGTAACTAAATAAAACTGTAAGGTTATATGATCAACAATAAACCTGTTACCTGTGATAATTGACATGATGGCAGCCAGCAGGACATAAATGATTACGTTAATAAACCCCCTCGAGTTTGGCAAGTGGACAAACACTCATTCATCTTTACATAACAAACGACAGTCGGAGTTAACCTCTCATAGGTCGTAGCTGAAGCAATGCTGAGCTAAACAGGTTTATTCACCACAGGTAACCTATTTTGCATTCAATGCTTGTTTGGGTCTTGTTGAATGAATGGCACAGCAGCTGTTTGTTGTCCGCTCTAACGTGTGGCTGCGCACAGCTGATACCCACTACGTTACCTAGGCAGGTTATAGGTAATGGAGGGAGGTGAATAACAGCAAGCTCATCAGACGTTTCCTAAAAATAAACATTGTTCATGAGTCCCGCACCTCAAGTCCAAGTCAAGTCTGAAGTCTTTTGAGGACCAGTCTCAAGTTGAGACTGAACTCACTGTGTGTGCGACTTAAGTCGGACTCGAGTCCCCATCTCTGGTACTTACATATCCCAAATGTTTCCAACAATGTTCAAATACAGAAATCTATCTTTTTAATCTTTAATCAAGGTTAAGGTGCGTTTCATTTGGTTGCCTGTCGCCTTTAGCCCCTCTACCTCCTCTAGTTGCTTTAATTTCCAGGGAAACGCAGGATATATCAGAGTGAGGAAGGAAGTTGGCAAACGTCACTAAATGTATCGTGAATAAAACTTTAATACATTACCTCGCCCGGGAACATGATTTTTGTATCTCAGATAGAATTTCATCAGCAATGGTGGTTGTTTACCAATGAAGACGACAACTTCCATGATCCCACGCTACTTCACTATGTTTCTTGTTATTGTTTTGATGTGAGACCCCTAGCAGCAGAAATTATATATTTATTTAAATAACAGAATATATATAAAATGCAAAGTCTTTTCACCCCTTTGCTGACAGCTTATAAGGAAAAAACTTTTTGTTTGTTAGTATGTTGTTGTATCATTGATTGGAAACCCGTTCTTGTCTAGCATCAACACAAATAACATAAGTTTTTAAAGTGTTTTTAATCTGTCCGTTGTTGAAAGGGGTGTTTGGCAAGGGCAAAGTCTTACCAGCTGTTTTATCATCCTTTTTGACACTGACCCCAACCTTTTCCTTTTCCCGCTTCATTTTCTTTTCTGTTTAACTGTAGGTGAATATGTTCACAAACCAGGGGACAGTGATCCACTTCAATAACCCAAAGGTTCAGGCCTCCTTGGCTGCCAACACCTTTACGATCACAGGGCACGCTGAGAACAAGCAGCTCACAGAGATGCTCCCAGGAATCCTAAACCAGCTGGGAGCCGACAGTCTTACCAGCCTCAGGAGATTAGCAGAGACCCTGCCAAAACCAGGTACCTACAACACTCTTAATTGATCTGTTTACATGTATCAGTAGTTTTGTGTGTTGTCCATCAACAATTTTCTGTTTGGTGTCCCCACCCCCGCCCCCACCCACACACACTCATAGCTGGAGAGAACAAAGCCCCCATGGTTGCTGTTGAAGAGGAGGATGATGAGGTTCCTGGTAAGCAAATGTACACACCCAACAACAAAGATTTGCATTCATTCTGTAATGTAGCATTAAAATATATACAGAAATAGGCCAGAAAGGGCTGTTTGTGTCTTATTTCACAGAACATACATGATCTTATTTGGTCAAATACGTTTAGTCTGAATGTATGCATTTATGTTTAAGAATATAAGACAAGCTTCTGTCACTGACTGAATGCATGCATTAATTCAGATGGCTCATTTTTTGTTACATTCATATTTCGTAATTCAGTTTTATTTCAGTCATATGCTTATTGAGACATTTTCTTATCTCTGTCTGTTCTGTCTTCCACTCTTCCTGTTTCTGCTTTCAGATCTTGTTGAAAACTTTGACGAGGCTTCAAAGAACGAAGCAAACTAATAAAGACCTGCAAACATTTCAAGGCTCCTCTGGAATCCCCGTACT